GTTGTTCTGGGCACTTGCCTTATTTTCAGAAGCCAAATAAGGAGGGAAATGTGTGATGTGGTTTGGTCTCAAATCGGCAGGAACCCAAGATCTCAGGATTGATCATCATGTTCTCCATGACAGTTGCCTTAAAACAGTGTACCATCCCAGCACCTCTCAATATGGTTACTAAGTGGATTGGTTCACTCCATAAGATGAACATAACAAAAGGAAGGACACCAATTAGTTCGTGCTCTTGTGGATAGAAGAAATCCTGCACCAGTTGGTAGATGGTTTATCCCATTATAATCCCATTGTTTATAGTTACCAATAGTTACCAACTATAGTTACCAATAGTTTTTTATTGATCTATAATTTATCCCATTATAATCCCATTATTTATAGTGTTTCATAGTTACCAATAATTACCAACTGGCCATCCACAGTATGTAGCCCACTTCCTATGGACAGTCAGCTGGTGGTGACACAGCCTAATTCGTCAAAAACACAATGCCTTTGTTGTAAGACCAGCAATTAACAATGGCAATGGGAAATATCCTCTAAATGTGCATTTTAACCGGAAAACGAATCTAAGAAAGAGGTATTTTCCATTGCCATGTTTGATTACCAGAGGCTAATTAAGGTATGGCTATGCAGTATTGGTAGCTGTGAGTGTCTCTCCATTTCCCAAGGCGGTTGCTAAATGTCCCATTGCGGTGATTCTGAACATCACCTGGTCAAATGGCTGTTGGAGAGAATTCCTCCATTCACAGGGTGATGTCCAATTGTTCAAATGGGACAGTTCACTATCCTTAACGGGTAGTACATGGTAGTACCATCCAAATTGTTTCCAGGTATCATTCATATTCTGTCAATGTATATCCGAAACTCCCCAGGCTTCAATGACCACTTGCGCATCCCAGTTCACAGATCATTGCCCACCGTTCCGGCTGAAATAACCCCGTGAAAAAACGGCCGAAACAGGAAGCATCCCTAAATGTCCCAAAGTGTCAGGCTAATCTTTTCATAGTTTAACCATTTGCTTAGTAAAACATCCTATTTTGGATGGTGCCCAAGGTGACCCTCACAGCAACCCAGAAAGGTGGTGACAAGGGTTTCTGGCAATCCTTATAATGAGTATACAGAGAGACCTTTTCTATCATGGCTTAGTTGATATTCCCAAACATATGGAGGTTTCCATAAATGGGTGTACCCCAAAATGGATGGTTTTTGTTAGGGAAAAACCATCTATAAATGGATGTTGTGGGGGTACCCCCATGACTTAGGAAACCACCATATATCCCTGCTGCTTTCCCCATCCAGGATATGGTGGCGCCCCAACAATCCCCAACATTTACCGCAGCAAGTCTCCATGCTGATTGCATCCCCATATTCTCCCATGTATCATGACTTATACCCCAAAGATTTAGCGCAAATCACATAGCTCAGTGATTCTATCCCCATGTTATCCCCCTTGATGATGTCATATTGTCATACTATTGCATTATTCCCATTGTATCGTATTTGATCCGGATCCGCCCATTTGATATTCCACATAGTATTTCCGTATTTCCCCAAGTATATTATACCATACTTGGGGTTGCAGTTCCAGTTATATGTGGTTATATCAGGACAGTTGAAGCGGTTATATCATGTTATATCCCAACAAACATGATACAATGATATCAGTTCGTATTACATGATATTAGGGATGTATTATCAAAAACACTTTAGATATAACATGTTTAATAACCATAGTATTTATGTGTGTATATATATATACGGGTAAATTATAACGACCTCACTACGACCGAACCCTGGAAATCATGGTTAGTAAGGGAAATCATCCCCAAATGGCCTTAATTCAGGTATTATAATTTACCCAGATATATATCATGAGTAATACGACGGATATTCCCGCAAAACCTTCCCCCCAGTCCTGCGCGCAGGTGTTTCGGCTGCTGTTGCGCCCGCAGTTGCGGCACCGGCACCAGCAGTTGCGGCACTGCAGACGCAGCTGATGCAACTGCAGGTGCGGTACTTGAAAACCAACAATACGGCTCTGGTTTTTTTTAGGCTGATGAAAGTGTTGGAAATGGTCAATTTTATGGCATTTCAATGTGATTTTGGTGAAGATACTGTTTAAAATACCATGTTGTTTTTCATGATTGGGATCAATGATTGTGATTTTTTGCATGATAATTATTATTATTATTTTATTATTATTATTATTATTTATAATGAGATTCTGTAAAGGGATGTATTGGGAAACAAACCACGAAACGGTGACCTTTGAGACGGTGATCATGTTGATCGCAGCTTCCCCGATAGCTGCATCTGGTGTTTTTCGATGGGTGCCCGTCGGACAGCACATGGGAATTTCGCGGATCCCCACCAGCCATTTAATGGTTAATACTGGTTAATAATGGTTATTGATGGTTATTGATGATTATCAATGGGAAATCCAGGATCCTAAAATGGAGGTACGTTAGTACCATATTTTTGGCCATATTTTGTGGGGATATTCCCTGAAATTTAGGCCTCAAAAATAGGCCTTATATATGGGATTGGTACCTCCAATCAATCGGTTCCTGAGTCATGGCCATTGACATGTGGATTGAATTGGATTTACCCTCTGGTTATTTGTTACATAGCCATGGAGAATCACCATTTTTAAGTTCGGTAAACCATCTATTTCTATGGACCATCGAAAAACCATGGCGAAGTGTTAGTCATAACCAGAGGGTAACGAAAAGCCGGTGATTTTTTTTTATGGGATTGAATCACATGGAAAGATAAACCAGCTGACAATGATGTTTGGGGGAATCTAAGATTACTGTTACAGTTAGCCAACAAAATTGATTGGTGAACGTTTCGGCCAGCAAAAATTCCTGGTAAACCAGGAAGCATTGGATTTCAAGCAGCTTGGGCCAGTAAAGGTTGCCATCAACGGTGAGGGTCGTACATGGCAATGGCCCCATTGGGACCTTCCTTGAAGAGGGTGAAATGGAGCAGCTGAGTAGATCCTTCATGACTTGTGGCCATCCGTCAATGCCCCAATAAGGGACCCAACATGAATAGATTCAATACTAAAGGAGGGTTTCTAAGGGCAGGTTTCTTCTTGGAGACTAAGGGGTATACTGCGGTATGAAAAAAACTGGACATCGGAAAATGAGAATGAGCCACTGGATTGTGGGATACCCTTTCAGAAGCAACAGAACATGGATTCCTCACTGCTTAGCATCCCTGTTTTAGTCGATATATCTCTGGATTGTCCCTATTATATTCTCCCCAAGATGGATTATCCCATTGAAACCTGGCCAGATGAAACAAATCATCGCCTCTTCGCAGCAGGCTCAGAATCAACAACTGCAACGTTGGAGTCTCAAGGGTTCGGCGGACAGGTGTGGACGGTTTGTTTTTTCTGGGAGAGCAACGGACAACTATAAAGAATTGGACATGATTCAAGAAACTTGGTTATTTTTGGGGCAAAGCACATTGTGAATGGTTGGTGAATTGTGATGTTTTTTTGCTGTGCTCTTTAATGTTCAAGGTGAAATACTTATGCCACACCCTGCTGAACATGTTTAGTGGAGGATATATTGGTTTGGTGGGGTATCACACGCTGGTCATGGGTATCTTGCTGGCTGACCGAAAACCAGAAAAGCTTGTGTTTTGGAAGAATCATGAAACGAGGAAGTCAAAAGAAAGTGAGCAGCATCATGATTTGAAGAACCGAGGAAACCGATGGCGTGCTGTTGGTGATTCCCCGTTTCTGACCACACGTAAATATGGCAATGAATAGCCCCAAAAAAAGTATGTATGTATGTAATATATATATATATTTAATATATATAATTAAGTTGCATTTAAATTGGATAATATCCCACTGCTAAACCTGGGTTGAAAGTGGACTCCAGGAGTGTTTTGAACTCAAATTCCCTCGGACCACGAAACGCGCACGCACCAGCGGTCTCACGATGGGATGCACATCATCATCTCACAAGCCTCAAGAGATGTCTCGGACGACTCGCATCTTGTTAGCCAATAGCTGGTTGGTGGTTTGGCACATTTTTTATTTTCCATAATATATGGGATAATCCTCATAAATAAATGGTGGATCTTTCCATAATAATAGCTGGTTGGTGGTTTTTATATTGGGATATATTGGGAATGTCATCATCCCAACTGACGAACTCATATTTTTTCAGATGGGTAGGGCGAAAAACCACCAACCAGATTGCTACTGCAAAGCTATTCAGATCTGTGAAAATACCCTAGGGATCTCTGGGATAAACCTTCAGATGCGGAAAACGATCTACATTCATGGTGGCTGTTCCACCACATCTTGTTGTGTACACAGGATCATCCTGGTAAATTATAACGACCTCACTGTTCTCCCGAACCCTGGAAATCATGGTTAGTAAGGGAAATCATCCCCAAATGGCCTTAATTCAGGTTAGTGAAATATTATAATTTACCCAGAATCGTACTCCATATCAACTAAGTGGATGATTAGATGATGAGTGCGTGACATCCGTGACTAATTCTTGGATTCTTACCAGCATCTATGAGCTGTGCCATCAAGGAACAGTCGTCCGATGGACCGTTGAATATGACGAGGTGGCCATTGACGTTGCCGAACCGCGCTGGAGCTTCCGATCCATGGAACACATGGAACAGATTCCACCGCAGAGCACACATTCTGGCGCCGAGTTAGAGCGATTCATGAAAGAAGTGGTGTCTTGGCAGAATAGATCAGTGAAGCAACGAAAAATTTCTCAGGGTGGTTCCTGTTTGGGGTTGTCCCAAAGGAAACGTCACTGGAGGAACCATCTGGAGGAAACCGGCTAAGGATTCCGCAGATCTCGAACGAGTTGTTCAGCAAAAGCGCGAGGATCACCTTGCACGGAGGCTTCATATGAGAGGTTTCGATTAAGCTGGGCAGTGGCCATGAAACAAACCCCCAGGTTGATCCAATTTGATCCAATTTGCTGGAGGGGGTTGCCACATTACGTCATAAGTATATATCAATATATATATATATATATACGTATATATATATATGTATATATATATATCATATTCTGGTGGTTTTATGACTTTCCATTCAGAAAAGGGAATTTCATCATCCCAACTGACGAACTCATATTTTTCAGAGGGGTAGGTGGCTCAACCACCAACCAGTCTCCATGCTCATGATTGTGCCACTGCTCAACTCTGAAGGGAGCTGGTGGCCAATCTTCTTGCAGCGCATCGCTCCTTTCACCTTTTTTTTATATGGGTATGGGTCAATACCTATAGATGCCATTTTTAGTGGGATGAACATCCATTTACCAGCTATTTTGGGCTTCACTAGGGTACCAAGGTTTTGACTCATACCCATATCCTTTTATGATCGTCATTTAGTGTCGAAAGGGTGAGAGTTGGCTCATTCCTTCGCACCGAATTTACCGGAATGTCCAGTGAAGCGAGGTTCAGGGCATAGCATCTGGATGTTACACGGCCAAATTCAGCAGCCCACCTTGAAATATGATGTGATTCATCTTCCAAACTCAAAATCATCCAATGGGTCTTTGGTTGAAATGATTGAAATAGATATAATATAAAGCCATATTAAATTAAATGTATACCAGCATTTCCACAAATCCACTTTTTTGTGGACGTACGTGTTTGGCCATGTGTTTTGTCCGTCACGGTTTTCGAGGTTTTGGGGGGTTGTTGCTGACTGACAGGTGTGTCGAATCGTGCGGTAGAAACGCATAAACGCATCCCTGTCTGTCATATGACCCTACAAACAATTGGCCGCATGGGTCCTTATATATATATATATGTATGTATATATATATATATATTGTGTATATATATATGTATATATTGTATATATATATATATACATTGTTAGATACTATAGACTATATATTGTATATATGTATGTATGTGTTGTATATTATACATATTATATATATATATATATTATATAGATACGTAATTATACATCATATATGTTATGTACAATGTTATACATATATATATATACATATTATATATGATGCAACATATTATGTATTGCCCCTCTCATGGCTTCGCTGGTCAACTATGGGACATGCCGGAGTCCCTTTTTCTGCAACCTGGTTGATGGCTTCGAACGTTGCTTCGTTGCTTCACCAGGATCGGATCATTGTGCCATTGGTTAGTCTTTTCTGGAACCTGAAAGATCTGAAAGTTGGATGTGGGAAGATATTGCTGGGTAAATTATAACGACCTCACTGTTCTCCCGAACCCTGGAAATCATGGTTTATATATGGGAAATCATCCCCAAATGGCCTTAATTCAGGTTAGTGAAATATTATAATTTACCCAGATATTGGGATGCTGAAGCCGCCAACCAGAGAAACTGTGAACATATTCTTGGACCTTGTACTCATGTCTTGGCCTGTTCGCTGTCTGCTGTCAGGGACATGCTGTACGGAAGCAGACCTGTTTCCAAACTGAAGCAGATCTGTTTCAAAATAGAATTTCAGTTGTGGTGTTAAGAGTGTCCAGACACATAATCTTAATCGTTCAACATACGGCGGACCTATAGTACTGGAGGTTTAAAATATATGTTTTTTTTAACCGGAAAATCATCTACCCTATGGTAAACGTTTACATAACGAACTGGAAAGTCACCATGCTATTACTGGGTAAATCAACTATTTCTATGGCCATTTTCAATAGCAAACTGTTTGTTTACCAGAGGATGACTCAAAGGGGGTCTTTCATGTTGCCATGTTTGTTGTAAAGCCTGAAAAAACCAGCCACGAATCTCTTCAGATTTGTTTTTTTTTTCGATACATCGTTTCATGTTGTGTAACGATGCTGACACCACTCGGCAATCCAGAAAGCGCACTGAACAAGTGTGTTTCCTGTCGCTGATTCTTTGAGACGCCGCAAGTTTGTTCAGCGGTTTTCAGACAGTGAGCAAAAGTTGACACATTTGGCTCTGCCCAAACTGGAGAGTATTGGAGTGGCTCAACCACCAGCAGCAACCAAGTTTTCACTGGTCTCCAACAAAAGATCTCAAGATCTAAGCCTGGGATTGAGGAATGGGCGCTGTAGACTTTGTGTTTGGAGCCCAAAATAAAAGGTAGCGTTTGGTCCAAAAACAGAAGAACATCTGAAGTGACACCATTTTTGAACCAGAAAATTTGAGAACATGTTTACCAGAAAGCCATGATAAGCCATTATTTTTGTTGCTTCACCAAGGCGAAAAGTTGGAGCTTCAGATGGTCCAGCAGGGAGGCGGGGACTGGGGACCCAACAAACCATGGCCGGACATCAAAACGCGTGGAATGTACATGTGGGACATGAAAAATGTGGGGTTCCCATTGGGAATCTAAGCCATCTAAGCATCAAAAATACGTTGGCCAACTTGGGATTTCGCCATCAAAGCCATGATGTTCCAAACATGTCACTGCTGGAAAACAGGGGTACTCAAAAATCTCCTGTTTGGGACTCCAAATACCCTCTGGTTATGTCAAAATAGCTATTGAAAATGGCCCAGTCGAAATAGTGGATTTTCCCATTTTTAGAAAATGGTGGATCTTTCCAGTTCGTTATGTAAACGTTCACCGGAGGAGAAATCGAATCTCATCCCATTTTTGGATTGGGAAAGCCATGGAAATCGCGCTGGAAAAACGTCCTAAAGTGCAGGAAACTAACGAAATGAAGCATCTTGAGGCAACGTTGGACAGTTCCTGAAATCTGGAAACTGGGTTCACTAAACTCAAGTTAAAATCATAAATCATTTTTTCATCCCCTAACTTTTCTTGGCTAAATGTGGTTTAATCCTTATGTTGGATGAAATCACCATTTAACGCTATTCATATTTTGCTTTGTTGAGTCTGTCACAAAAATTCGGTTGATGAACCCCCTAAGTTTGATCCTGATGTCCCACATGTTTCAAGGAGAACTCCTCATTTTCCCAATTCTTTCATGGTTAACTCCCAAAATTCCGTAAAATTCCCACATTTTTTGATGGTTAGTTAACTCCCCGTTTACCCACATGTTTGCTGATGGTTAATTAACTCCCCCGCTTATCCGCATTTTTTCATGGTGAATTAACTCCCCATGCACCAACATTTTTCTATGGCTAATTAAATGCACATTTACCTGCATTTGTATGGTGAATTAACTCTCCATTTTCCTATTTTTTTGGATGGTACCTTCTGGGAAACGTTTACATAACTATGGAAAATCACCATTTTCAATGGGAAAATCCACTATTTCTATGGCCATTTTCAATAGCTATGGGATGCTCAATGGCACCGCCGGAGCCATGGTCACACCAGGCGAACACTTGGCAGCCGCCAAGCGTCACTCTGCCGAACTGCAGGCCGTGGTGATTTGACGGGCGGCCGTTCTCGTTTTTCCGGGACATGTGGAAGAAATCCTGCACCAGTTGGTAAATGGTGTATCATGGCTGATCCATGTTTATCCCAGTATTTACAGTGTTTCATAGGAATCCCAATGCCAATTGGTGCACGATTTCTTTCACTCATAGTATCCCAATGATCTGGATATATATATATAGCAACCCCCAGAAAGATAGAAAACTGATAAGTATACGAGTTTGAATCTTTTCGGGGATTACTGCAGGTTTATGCGTTTATTCTTAGGATAAACCACTGATTTTATCACAGAAAATTGATATACAAAAAAAATTGGATATGTTATAGACAATTTAGTTTCTGTGATATTTATCCAAGAATTTCCCAGTATAGTCCCCCAAGTATTCAATAAAATTGTGATATTGAAGATTTCCAAAAACCAATTTTCCCAAGTATACTCCCCCAACCATTCAATGGGATACTGTTTTTTTGCGGGATTTACTGTATTAACCAGCAATATTATTAGTTGGGTTGATGATGATTTAACCAGCCCAAAAGCCGGTTGAGAAATAGATCTACTCGGGATATCATGACGATATAAAGGGAATATATATATATATAATGTTGTCATCAGGGGATATATCACAAACAGTGTGAGATGTGGGTATGTCTGAAAACGGGGTACACCCACAAAACAGTAATTCAAGTAAAGACAATTGTGAGATTAATCAATAGATTTTGGATGAGTTTAGTGGTATTCTGTTGTCAACGCCGATGTTCAAATGACAAAGTCATGCATCCGATCTTATCGAGGGTAACACCGACTAATGTGATTAAAATAATACTCGTGACGATTACAATAATGATATGTTTCAAATGGTAATGAAAATAATTACAATATAATAATGTGTAAAAAATGAAGACAACAACGATAGTATTATAATATATAAACATATGTATATATATACATATATATACATATGTGTTCATGCATACTCGCGCATGCCTATGGATACATGTGTGTATATACATGTTTATGTTTATATTCACTTAGTTGGTATATCTTCAACCAAGCAAAGTTTACGGGTACAACGAACACCAGGGGAAGACTCAACCAGCAAAAGTGGGAGTATTGATGACAAGTGAGTTGCTGAAAACCATAATTGGGATAGAGATTGGGCTGTGGCACAGCACCAGATTTCAATGCAAAAATTGCAATTTGGGGGTATGTCCCAGTTTTGGAATAGCCCATATTTCATTCATTGTTTCATCTCTCGCTGACTTCAGTTGGCCAACCATCAATTGCAACCATGGGGATGGCGGAAGTGCATGCGTACTGAGATGTTCTAAAAGAACAAAGACAAAACAAAAGTGTTGGCAAAGGGGAATCCATCGCAAGATGCACAAAAATAACTCTGAGTCGGACATTCCAGTAATTTTTCTACCCACCCTGGAGGGTGATTGGAAACATGTTTGGGGTACTTTTTTGTGCTGAAGCATTATTTTCTAGCCGCCTACTGAACAGGAAGCAGGAAGAGATATCTCATGGATTCTGCCTGACCAAAAGTTTACAGAAACTGCCCGCTGCCTTTTTTTGATGTCCCAGAAACGGTTTGTGGTCGACTCGTCATGCTCCCACTGCAGCTGTTTGAAAAGCTCCGCTGTGGGTCCAGAGAGCTAATGATTGCGGCCTAGACCAGTCAATAGGTACTTGACTAGGGACCCAGTATGACCCAATTGTATGTTTGAAACATAAAACTTTGTAGCTGAGTGAAACAAGAGAAACTTCATCATCAGCTTGAAGCCTAAACACATCCCATTGTGGATTTATATTGGACCAACACAGAATCCAGACGCATCCAAGCACGCCTGCAACTTCGGGTTGTTCCATGAAAGGGTCGATCCAAAAACAGCATCCGAAAACCCCATCTCTTCATTTCCCGCCTTTGGCATCAAGGAGAACCCAAAAAATCAATCACCAGTTCGTTGTTTGTTTTTTTCGCACCATGTCGGTGCGTTTGGCCATTGGCGTGGCCGTGGGTGCTCTGTTGTTGCTGATCTTGTGGGGTGTCCCTTTGGCCAAGGTTTGGGTGCGTGTTGCCAAAATTCATTCGGTGCTTGCTGGTTTCAATTACCCCAGGGGTTATTTAACAGTGCTATGGAACATATTGGAAAATCACGGTTTCGCAATTTGTCATGGCTAAATCATCGTAAATGATCAATTGAATCAATGGGCCATGGCTTCCATAGCTTTGTTAAATGAGCAGAGGGCATGTTTTTGTTTTTTGATTTCTCACCTGAGACGATGATCATAGTAACGTCAGTCGCAGGTTCATAACCCGCAGGTTATGGGGTTGCCAATTTTAGGAGTAATTAGTCACTATTTTGGACCCCAAATTGTGATGTGTTTAAGCACATAGCTATAGAACATCGCCATATTGAATAGGAAAACGATCTATAAATGGGCAATGTTCATCCATTTTCCATTGCCATGTTTGATTACCGCAGGGTAACTGGTGAGTTTTAGCCAGATTCAACAGCAACCCTCGCAGTTTGACCCAACACGGGGTGTATGAATCGAGAATCAAGACACGGGCCGCACAACAAGCCATGGAGGTTCCTAAGCCATGGGGCCGGGTACGCCCAAATCATCCAAAAAAATCGACCCAACTATATTATTGAACCTATGGTGGCTTGGGGGTCTTCCATTTTAATCCATTCTAAGTGTTGGGAATATGAACCAGCCACGATCTGGGGCAGTGGCTCAACGTGCCGACCAACTCACAGTCACTGTTCCATGGGAAAGAATTGACACCCTCGAACTTTGATATGGAACTCAACAACCATTTCCAAAAATTGAAGTATATTATTACATTAAAATAGCCTGGTACTAATAGCATTGACAGGGATGAATTTACCATGATTGGGTGCAATTGTCATGGAAAATTGGGGATTCATATTTCAGTATTTAGCATTGATAACGGTGTATGGTAAACAATGTATACCATTAGTATACGGATTTTTTTATGCCACTATTCAACACATACCCATATAATCAAGCTGGGTTGTTTCACCTTGGTGAGGCTCCTCCCAATGATCGGAAAATGAGGGGAAAACTTTTCGTTGGTCAAGTCATGGGGCCGTGGGGTTTCCTAAGTCATGGGCAAGCGCCCCAAAAAATCATCCATGTTACAAAAGGCCTGGTAAACAAACAGGCCTTGCTATTGAAAATGACCCATTTCTAAATTTCTAGTTGATTTACCTATTAAAAATGGTGATGTTCCATCGTTTTTTGTTAACGTTTACCAGGTCGGGTCAATCAGGATGTTTACCATCAGAAAAAAACATCCAATTCACTTGGAGCTCAGTCTAAAAACATGTCCCTTTTGTTGGTGAAAAAAACATCATCCGTTGTTGGTTACAAAACTGGTTGGTGGTTTGGAACCATGGAATTTTATGACTTTCCATATATTGGGAATGTCATCATCCCAACTGTTACTCACTCCATCATTTTTCAGAGGGGTAGGTATACCTACCACCAACCAGAAAATGTTTGAACAGTGAGTTCTAACTGCATTAAACAACAACTCAACTCATAACTTTCAACAATGGTGAAAAACATCATTGCTGGTTCAAGCCAGTACAAAATGTTACAAAGCTCCTTCAGTTGATGGCTGGTGGATCCCTGCCACTTCTTCCCTGTGATGCTGTGTCTGAAAATGTGGGATTAACCGTGAATACCAATTGGTGATTTAAAAAATATATATGTTATATAAGGGTACCTAAATTTCAGACAAACCGACATGTGTGTGTGTGTCTATGTACACTTATGTATGTATGTATGTATGTATGTAATTAATGTATGTAATTAATGTATGTAATTAATGTATGTAATTAATGTATGTAATTAATGTATGTAATTAATGTATGTAATTAATGTATGTAATGTGTATGTAATGTATGTAATTAATGTATGTATTAATGTATGTATGTATGTAATGTATGTAATGTATGTATGTATGTATGTATGGTATGTATGTATGTATGTAATGTATGTATATGTATGTATGTATGTATGTATGTATGTATGTATGCATGTATGTATGTTGTATGTATGTATGTATGTATGTATGTATGTATGTATGTATGTATGTATGTATGTATGTATGTATGTATGGTATGTATGTAATGTATGTAATGTATGTATGTATGTATGTATGTATGTATGTATGTATGTATGTATGTATGTATGTATGTATGTATGTATGTATGTATGTATGTATGTATGTATGTATGTATGTATGTATGTATGTATGTATACATGACATTGTATTATATTACATTACATGACATTACATGACATTACATTACATGACATTACATTATATTACATTACATTACTACATCTTTATGTCCTCTGAATTGTCCCGATATTATGGGCCCTCATGTCATTTTCCGACTCACCAGCTCCGACTCACCGTCTCGCTAAGCTATGCACCTGGAAACGCGAGTGGCTGAAAGATGTCTTCGGCCTCAAGTCCTCAAAGAAGACGGTTCCTTGGACGAAAGACGTGCGACGGGTCGTGCTCCAACCAGGACGGGTCCAGGACGGGTCCATCGCAAGCCGTGGTGCGATTAAACCATGGTGCGCCCAACTTGGAGGATCACCCTTTTTTTCACTGGATGTCACTGGTTAGTGGGGTTACCAGGTAGAAATGGGATTTAAAAAAAAGGTAATTATGTAGGGATTGAGAAATTATGAGAAATTGGTTCATATATGGGTAAGCTATTTATTTGTATCCCTGGTTATCCGGGACTTACCAACCAGGAATATTCGCCGGCTACGATCTGTGGGAGGATCCTTGAATGATCATGCGAAAACATCTGAAAAGATAGCCGTTCTGTGGTAAGTCGCCGGATTTAAGGCTAAGACCCAACAGAAAAAACTCATTGGGTTTGTATCAACTGGTTGGTGGTTTGGAACATTTTTTTCCATATATTGGGAAGAATCATCCCAACTGACTCCAACTGACTAATATTTTTCAGAGGGGTTGAAACCACCAACCAGTTGAGAAATGGAGAAATAACCCCAAATATATAATGGCTTCAATTCAAAGGGTTTAATGGATATCCTCATAGTCGTTTCAATCGAAATAATGATGCCACTTGATGCCACGGGGGTCGCCTGTGGCTGTGGATAGAGTTGGCCACCGGTACTCAGCCGGTGGTAGTGGAAGATCTCTATAAATGGATGTTTATAGCTGGGAAAATCATGGGAAAATATCGGAAAATCCATTCTAATTCATTGTAAATGGATGTTTATAGCTGGGAAAATCATCGAACTAAATCGTGGATGTTCAATGGCCATGAGGGTATACTATCCAGATTGTCTAGTACAAGAACCAGTGATACCCTCTGGTAAGTCAACATAGCTATTGAAAATGGCCATTTATAGTGGATTTACCCATTGAAAATTGTGATTTTCCATAGTTATGTTAGTTTACCAGTGATATACTGTATTCTAAAAATTGCATGCCAGCCCAAGGAAATATTCCATGATGTTTTGTGAACGTGAACTTGAATCATGTTCACAAGTGTTTATGATGTGTGCATCAATAGTCAATTGATTATATTAAACTATATCCAGACTGATTGACGAGGAAATCCATTTGATCACCTATATAAACATAGTATTTTTCTATCCTGCATACTTTGGTCGGCTGGATACAAATCAGGTATCAGAATGGAGAACCCAGCATCCGATGGAAAAAAGAGTGAACTGTCGTGTTCTCAAGTTGTAAGTGGCAATCAATTTGGGGCTCATCCCCTGTTTCAACCCAGTGTCCCTCTACTAGAAAAAAATAGCTTACCCATATTCTATCATATTCTGCTGCTCAAGCCCGAATTATTGATGGGTAAACTGCACCAAGATCACCAAACCAGAGTCACCATACTAGTTGTTGATTGTATCATATTGTATCATATTGTATCTCATATCATAGAATTGGATGATGGGAAAATTTTAACCGGAACCCCCAACATATATATTTGATGGTTAAAAAAAAAACATGGTTTCCTGTAGATTTTCCCTTAAACCAAGCCATTGATCATATAGTTAACATTTTTGTGTTTAGTCACCACATTCAACCATGGTCACTTGGTGAAATCTCATCGGATGACCTTGGTCCGGTCCGGTGATTTTTTGGGCTCTTTGTAAGTAACAACTCCTTTCAGATAATCTAAGATAGTAGTAAATTCAACATCTTCATGGTAGTAAATTGAAGCTCCCACCTAAATATTTTCGGGTGAGTTTGTGTTTGTTGCAGTCTTTGTGGCGAGCCCGCTTTTTATTCAGAGGTGAAAATCCATGGATTTGACCATCCACCATAGCCCTTTTTTTGTCGAAAATTGGCATCGTCAGGTCGATGCCATCCAGCTCGAGTCAGGCAAGGTTTGGGGAAGAAATGGCAGGGGATGTTCAGATCGAATGGGGATCCCTTCCCTTTTTAGAGGATGTCATTAGAGATCCTCATCAAAATCGGGATTTTGGCCAACAACTACAGTAGCGAATATGATAAAATATGCGAGACAAAATCAGTCGGCAGATTTGAGCGGAACGTGGGCAGCTGTCGATATGATGTGTTACTGGTGGCCCAGGAGTTTCCATTTGGGGACGCGACGCTAGGAGTTGGATGGAGCCCCCAATGAACAGTCCATGGCCGGCTAGTCATTAAAAGTTGCCCACGACAGCGACTGCAAGTTGACGGGTCATGTGTTTTTTTTCCCTAAGAAAACCCAATATCACATGACTCATGCTGCTTGGTGGACCATCCTATGATATATTATGATAATCTTGAATAGCCCTGAATTTCGACGATTACCCATTCCAACACCATCATCCGATAAATGATCTGTTTCCATCCAGTTGTTTCCACCCCTGATTTTGTGAAGTACTGGAAGGATTCGCGAGGGGTTGCATGACCTCATGCGCAAAATGACTTGCCAATTGCCCTCTGCTAAATTGACATAGACCCTGAAAATAAGCCATTTTTAGTGGAAACCAGTCTTCCAACCCCTATCTGCCAGGGTCTATGTTAATTTACCGGAGGGTAAATAATATATAAGTCTTTGGATGCCTATAGTCTATTTACCCATGACTGAACCGGTTATTGGTAGTATGCCTGAAGTTGAAATCAACGCTGGATCAACGGTTATCAATGATTTGTGTTTTATCCCATTTGTACAGCAAGGGGTTATAATCCGTTGGGAGGACAACGAGCGGTGGCAGGTTCCCAGAAATGGCTTGTGCTAGCAAGACTTCAATTTCCTCACAAGAACAGGGGTTGCAGGAGCTGGATGGCTGAATTGAAAGGGGTAGGATATGCTCGTGTGTATTGCAACAAGACTCACGAAAAAGACACAGCTGAAGGCCGGTATGAAATTGATTCTAATCAGATTCCTGTCGGGCTTTGACTCCACACTTTGTAGCCGAGTTGCAGTAAAAACAAAGATATCTCATCATATCCCCAATATCCCCAATATGACTGATTCTGGTTGTATGTCCTCATCGCATTCCCAATGCTTCGCTTTACCCCTGGATCTCCCATAAAACATGCCCATTTCCAATGGTCAAATCACCGTTATAAGTTATAATCTCAAATTGAAGTCACTATATCCCATGATATCCAATGATATCCTCAGTGTTTTGCGGTTAAATCATCATATGTTCATATATTTCCTTTGATTTGGGACACCCCCCAAGATACCAACCAGCCATCCTCTGCCAGTGTTGTGGATCCTATGCCATGAGGTCAGGCAAAACCTGGAGTGTTGGGCAAAAGCGGCAGCCAGAGATCCTTGACAGAGAAATTCATGGCTTAAGTTAATTAAGCCACGGTCAAAATTTGGAGATGCTGAGATGCTGTAATTAATTGGCTATACATAATTGGATATTCCTATTTAATAATGGGATATTCTGTAATTTTCACCAGTTAAATTATGATTAAGTGGGAATAAGTTAATCATAGTCTTGTTTCTGGCTCTTATAGATTGTCATTCTTTACCAGAATATGTTACTTGATACAATTCGACCATTCTGGGTCAACGACGGTCAACATCCAGCATCATGTTCGACATGGTTCTAGATGCGTAAGTACATACTAGTTGGTGGTTTCAGATAAGCCCAAAAACATGGCTGTGTATAAACCCATTGAAGAAAGAGACATGGGGGTGACAGTTGCAAGCTAAAGAGGATATAATCAACAACTGTTTGATGATGTCAAATCGCAAACCGTTCTGGCAGTGTATAGCCAGTCATTTGTCGGGATACCGCTTTTCATAGTGGGGGTATGCATTTAAAAATATTTAAAGTTTTTTAATTGTGTTGATCTTCGTTCGGCTGCTTGGTTTTTGTATGGGAGTATGTATTCACCAAACAGATAAGAAACAGATGAGGGACACCATTCACCAAGAAATCCTCTTGGGACACCAATCACAGAATGTGGTGGGGTAAACGACACAGCCACGACACTTAAGTGAGAGGGGAAGGGTTGTGAAAAGACGACTGTCTATAAAAATTGACCGAATTTCACCCCAAAGCTGATAGTGTTCGATACTGTGTAGGATACTGCATGTAGGGGGTAACCATGATGATTTTTTTGTTGTCTTTCTGAGGGACAACATGTTTGAGGACCCAATATCTTACACATTTTCGTAGTTTCATGTTGTTCCCCCTAAAGAACTGAATCCCGATTTACTGCTGGAAACCCCGCTGGGTGTGTGTGGAATGATGGCCACGTTTTAGGGTGATCTTCTACTGACATCCCTACGATAATCAGATAAGCCAAGTAGCAATAACTCAAAAAAAAAGTGGACGTCTAATTACTTTATTTAACCCAATATTCGGGGGAATTGGATATTCATTTGACTATTGAGTATTTACATGAAACAGTTGTTTTTTTCTGAATATGGTGGATACCTTTTTGTTCAATTTCAATATGTAAAAAATGATGGTAGCTCACTGGAAGTGGAGGTTCCCTATTTTCAGACAAACCCTAACTGGCTATACTCCCTATTTCTCTATGTTTATCTATGTTTAATTTGATGTATAATTCAACTGTCGTCGTAGTTAGGCCTATTTTGCCAATGTGCTTATAGTTAAGATTAGATTCCAAATTCCCCTCTAATGCTATTAACTATAAGTATGAATTAACCTCTAATGCTATAAACTATAGTTAATAGTAGATTCCAGATTCATGAAATATTTCAGTATGTTTCTCCCTATATTTTGGTAGGGTTCCCCTGTGAAGAATCGCCTCACTGAGGCAGCACTCCGCAAGCCATGTACCTCGAAAAAATATGAAGGTTGGGAGATGTTCGGAAGCAAATGTTGGTTAAACTGTCGAAATTATATGGTCTAAATATGTTTGGATCATAGATGTCGTGGCTAGATCTAATAAACCTATGGTTTATTATGGTTTAAATAAGTTTTTGGAGTCCATATTGGTTGGAATTGACAGCATCAGTTCACAGGATGTATATGATATATGTTTTAGGGTGATCGAATCAACAACTCAACACATGTTTTTTTGGGTAGGTTACATGGAACAAACGATTCGCGGTTGCCAAGATTTTTTTAGGTTTGGACGCGAAGTGGGCCGACGGAGCCATTCAGCATGTTGAGCATACCCGGCATATACAAGATGGCAACATCCCTAAATGGTAGCAAATCTGCAGGAATCTGCAGGAAACCCCAACAATGTTGTGATTTGGGTTGGATATGGCAGGGGCCTTGGTGGCAGAGCACTGTAGCTGTTGGCTCAGATACCCTAAATCACTGTTTTTAGTCGGATGATAAATCATGAGATTTGGGGAACTGCGGTATACTCCTTCCAAAAAAATCCCACATGGGTTAGCCACTTAACTGGGACGCACATCCACTTTGCTCAGAATGTGGTTTACTCCATCAACCGGTTTGATACTATGAAGCCTAGGCCCCAGAGATATCAGCTACAAGCATCAACTTAGCGAACTTAGCTACAGGATGCTACGGGTATGTAATGTCTTCCGATCGGTGTGAGAAAAAAAAGCATGATACCAAAATACAATTAGTTCATCTCCCATTTGGTGTGTATATTAATATATATGTATATGTATATCAGGGTAAATTCTAACGACCAAACCTGTTCTCCCGAACCCTGGGAATCATGGTTTATTTTAGGGAAATCATCCCCAAGTGGCCAAGGATTGTGGTCGCAGCGGATGACAGCAATCGTGGTGAGCTGATGGAGTATCGAACGTTGGCCAATGCTTGCGCCTCGTCAAAACGAATCTCAGATGTTCCATGGCTTCGAAAATTATGGAAACATAAAACTGGTTTGTGGTTTCAAACATTTTTTTCCATAATATATGAGATGTCATCCTTCCGATTGACGAACTCATATGTTTCAAGATGGTTATTGCACCACCAACCAGAAAAGATTTGATGAGTTTAATGATTTTATATCATGTGTGTGAAATGATTATTCCATGATTCCTAGACATGTGTTTTACTGTTGTGAATATGGAGGGTAGAGAGCAACACAGGATCGATGGGATCAAAGATTGGGTGGCCATGGATCCATGGTTTGGCAATTTTTAGTATCGAGCCACTGAGTTTTTGGGCTACGCTTTTGCGGTTTGGAGTGTGTTTTTCGTACAGTGTGGTATGAATTAGGTATGTACCATGACCTGTCATTGTCATATTGACCCAATGATCTCTGAGGATTCAGTTTATTCAATCAGATTGGTGGATACAATCAATCAATGATGGCAAGGAGTAAGGTTGTATTGCGATCCAATATGGAGGTTTCCACAAATGGTGGAATCAAATCATCATCCAAAATGTATTATCATAATCCCCAATAGATCAATTAGTATATATTCCCTAGAAACGGAGGTTTCTTAAAATAGGGAGACCCCCAAATCATCCAAGTCATGGATGACCAGTTTAGTATTGAAGCCTATGGTTTTTGGGGATCCCCCATTTTAAGAAACTCCCATAGGGGCTCCACCAAACCAGAGCCTGGCAGATGGTCAAGTTCGGTTGTCCAGATTCCATGGTGTTTATGGTTGATCACAAGGATTGATTACTAAGATGACCTAATGTTTATGTGCTTTCTGTTGGTTTATGGTTTATGGGTTGCTAAAATGTATGTACCTTCTCTGTCAAAGTATATATTTATAATTATTTTTCTCGTGGTTACATATAGTGATGCTTTTGATGTTTCGCTAAATTAGCGGGGGTATCACAACAAACCCCAGCTATTTTTCTGCGCCTTTTTCAGGTAGCAATTGGTCGGATGGTAATATTCTGGGCAAGGCAGGTGGAAATGGAGGGATTTCAGCAACCCACCGTGGTAAATTCACCCAGAAACAAAACCTGTTACCCGGCCTGATAAACGAACAGTTTGCGAACTGGAACATCACCATGCTATTCATGGGTAAATCCACTATTTCTATGGGCCATGTTCAATAGCTATGTAACAAATTACCGAGGGTAATTGGATGGGTTATAGCATTTATAGTAGCCGGATTGTGGTTTCAACTAGTTGCATATGTTGCATATGTTCAACATTCTTCAACCGTAGAAATGGGATGATGATCCCAAAGTTGTTGACCTGAAATGGTGGAGTATTCCCTATTGGTCACGGCTGATATAGCTGGTATATGCTGGTATAAACTTCAAGCTATTGCACATAAAGCAGCCATTTTTGCAGGCATTCAAGCTGTGAAATGGGGGTGAATCAGTTCTTTTCACAAAATGTGTTTGTGGTCAGGAACCTTAGGAGAATCGAATGCCAGTTGGATTGTTTGGTCACTCCAATTAATATAGGTAGCAAGGAACGCGTGTCATCAACTGTAGTGTGGTAAACCCAGTCGTAAACCATTCCCGCAAAACAGATTTTAAAGTGGTGCCTATAGCGTCCGAGAGAGGCTAAGTTGGGTTATAACCCCATGCAACCCCATGTAACCCCATGTAACTATATTAGTTGTATAGTCATTTCATCATCATGAACACAAGACCTAGTTATGTAAATCTCAACCTAGCGATTTAGTTCACTGCGGCACAGTACCGCAGGGTGCTGCAGCGACTGTCTATCGGTGCAGCTTACCTCGCTTCGGGCAGGCGGTTCATGGTGATTTCAAGTGATTTCATCAACCATAAACGAGGGGCTTAATCAATAGTACAGAGGACTATCATGATTAACATGGGATATTTGCTGGAGATGGATTTTTGAAAACCAACATTCGAATATAGCCTGCTAACATGGGAGATATTTTATCAAGCAGCCGTACTGGAGTGATGAAATCAGTTTTGAGGGCTTTTGGCTGTTTGATGCTTTTTCTGGTTACCCTCTGGTAAACTAACATAACTATGGAAAATCACCATTTTCAATGGGTAAATCCACTATTTCTATGGTAAATTTCAATAGCTATGTAACAAATTACCAGAGGGTATTGTTATTGCTTCCTATTTTTTTGGGATTATTTTTGTTGATCCATCCTCTCTAGATCAATGACCGTCAGCATCTAGCAGTAGTTTGCTGAAAATGGCATGAAAGTTTCAAGTTTGACATGGTTCTATAATGTTCTATATGGATTCGCAGCAAATGGTTAGTTGGTTTAAAGAACCAAAAAGCACAGTAGGTACAAAAGCATTTATCTCCATTTATCACAAACAGAGGGAATGAAATGGCGATTTGACTTAAAAACGATGGTATAACATGAAACAACATGGTATAACCAATCCTGGATGGTTCAATCATCCAACATCCGTCGGGATGATGGTCCCAACTGATGTCGGGAGGCTCTCGTTGATGGCTGGATATTCCGCCAAGTAGCTGGATAGACACAAAAGATCTTTAGATTGTTATTTTTATAGAAGCTGTTTGTGTCCAAATAGTTTGCCTAAAGAACATATATATATACATATATATGTATCCAAGCTTACCCTCAGTGCTGTTGGTTGTAGCACGGTCTTGTGGGTCAACGATTCCAGTTCTCATTGGTGAAAACGAGGCTTGTTGGACAACGAAGGTAAGCTATGGATTTGAAGCATCAAAAGTGGCAATTGGTGGTTTAAGTCGATTGGAGGTTTCCTAAAATGGTGCTACCCCATAGGTTTCGATACTGAAAAGGTTTAATTTTTGGATGATTTGGAGATACCCCCTTTTTTTTTGGAAACCCACAAATGGTGCCCCCGTTTGTTAGCTAAGTTGGTGCTTCTAGCTGATATATCGAACGGGTTCATTGTAGATATATCGAACTGATTCATGGTTTGTTCATTGGGTAAATCAACCAACTTGAAAGGCTAAACTCATCACCCGTCCAGGTGGCCGTTAAGCGCTTCCACCAGACGCCTGCAGGCGTAGCCGGCGGGAGTTGGTGATGGGCGAGGTGGTGAAGATGTTGCATGTTTTCCAGTAGTGTGGGTAATGACCACTATTAACCATTATATCTAACTAATGATCTAATGTGGGCAAAAAAAATGTCATAAACCACCCATTTGGGAATGGTTTATATCACCTATGTACGGTGATTTGGGGAATGGTTTATGGCATTGCTTTACCCACATTACCCTATTTTTTAGTGGATGCAAATACTTTTTGATGGCGCTTAATGGCTTTGAAATTGGTTTAGTGTTTTTTGTTAATGATGTCGAAAGCGTTTGTAACGGTCTTAAATGGCTTATGAGCAGTGCGGTTCTGGAATTGTCGTTAGTGGTTGTTAATGGTGTTGAACTCGTTTTTGTTAGTGGTGTTGACACGGTTTTTAATCATGTCTACTGCAATTATTGTTAAATTGTGTCTAGTGGTGAATGCATATGGTATAGTTTGTAAGAACACCCCAAATGACTAGAGTAAAACTCAATATGGGACATATTTTTTTGAATGAACCATGATTTTTGCAGATAAATTGCTATGTAGAATGATTGCTAGTATATTGTAATATGTTTTCCAGGTAAAATGATCGCAGTTAGGTTCCCAAAGTGGGACGTTGTGGCGATCCGAGCGACGGAGAGTTGCTGGGCAGGTGGTATGGCGTACAACTTCGACCGAGAGTTGCTGGGTCAACGGCAACTGCGGGGCAGGAAGGGCCGATGAATTTCTTGCTGTGAAAATGGAGATGTTCTGAGGATATACAAGCAGTAATAGTGGGGATGTAATGGGATATTATTATACAATACTATTCATATATATATATATTTATATAATTTATATTGTATACTACAGTATGTATATATATATATTATACTATACACTATACTATACACTATATATTTACTTATATACATACACCCTCTGGTAATCAGACACATGGCTTGCTAGAAGATCTCCCATGAAAAGTTTGATTTCCAATTGCCACGTTGTTGGTTGGACATTTTACGTGCTTTAGGGATGGTTTATAGGGTTTATAGCACAGATTTCCAGTGATTTTGAGGCTGATTTATTGTTGGGTTCACCACATTGAAACCAACAGTCTGCAGAAAGAGCAAACCGGTTGGAAGCATAAGGCTCTGGTCAGCCAAACGCAAAGCCAAGAACTGGAGCCAAGTCACTCACCTGTGCAACCAGTAAAGAACGATGGCCAAGCACTCCATTCTTTGGCCAGACAACTTCTGGACCGCCCCTGGCCTTTCGTGGGAGGAGGTTCTTAAAAACCGCCCGGTGCAAGGGCCAAGAAGGTAGCCAGGTAGCCTCATACCTCCAAGCCCAGCAGGAAAGGTGGCACTAATGCAATGCCATCATTGACACCTGGTGTGGGATACCAGCTTCAGTTGCATCAGAAAAGGTTGCATCGAAAAAGGCCGTGGATGTCGATGATAAGTCGAGAATCTTAATGTCTTGTCTGGGTTTCTTTGTCCAGGCATTCACCATCAAACACTTGGAAAAAGGATGAAAAAGGGGATTGTGAACATTTAAGAACGGGATGCTAAGGACCAAAAATGGATAAGGGTATAGTAAGTCGACATAGAAACATGTGACACGAACGTAGTTTACAACCCAAAAAACAGTATGCAAACTTTGCCATGCAAACCAATTTTCAGATATGAATAGTTGGAAACCGACAATAAAGTGGGATATGAACCAACAAAAATGAGATATGTATCTATGGTTGGATTTTGCACCATCAAAAAGGGTGCTTAAATCAGCTTACCTGGGGACAGACAAGGTGAATAGTTTAGGGACGTTTGGGGGTAAACCATGGTAGAAGCGTTTACCCACTGGTAAACTAACATAACTATGGAGACTCACCATTTTCTAGCTGGGTAAATCAACTATTTCTATGGCCATTTTCAATAGTTTTTTGTATGTTTACCAGGCCGGGTAATTGAGGATTCACAACACTGCTCTGCTTTTCTGACCAGCGAAGAATGCAGTGTTGACGTATCTAGGGTTGACCATGGTAAATCTTGGGGACCCGGCTTCGCCGGTCGCCAAGCTTTACCAAGGAGGATAGCTGATTTGTGGTGATTTCTCGCTTAGATTACCATGTTTATGAGAAAAATTGTGCTATATAGATCAGTAAATATTGGTGATATTTCTCAGCTATTTATTTATAGATATCGATAGCTACTTATTTCCGTATCACTGACTCATATGATCTGCCGATTTAGCTATAGATTGAGTATTTGAGTTGTATAATTCACTTAACACAGTTGTTTTTTGGCATATTCAATCATCACTAACGTTTAGCCATGCCTTGAAATTCATACGGAACAAAACACCACTTGACGAGACGACGTGGGACTAAGGTTAGATGCTTTGTGCCAATGTCGCCATCCTCATGTGCTCGAGATCTTAGGGAGATCACAATCAGGACTGCGAATGGCAGCTGCGACTGCTGGACCGCTTTAAAAAATGGTTCGGCGTTTTGGGATATTCATCTATATTCATTATTGGGATACATATATATATATATTATATATTATTTAGAATGAATGTTGGGATGATGATAATATCCATGGGATGATGATAATATTCATGGGATAATTATTGGGATGACTAGAACGTACCCTCTGGTAATCAAACTTGGTTTTAAAAAAAAAAACGTATCAATGGAGGCTTATCCCGTTGCCATGTTTGATAAAATCGGACGGATCCGGATGGTATGTTTGGGCGAGCATCATCACAGCCATTTTAACAGCAGTGGCACTCTTGGATTCTTAGATATTGTAAGAATTCTCCCAATAGATCACAGTTTCTGGTTGGTGGTTTGGAACATGAATTTTATGACTTTCCATATATTGGGAATTTCATCATCCAACTGAAGGTTACTCCATCATTTTTCACAACGGTAGGGCGAAAAACCACAAACCAGTTTTGTTGAGGGGTTATAGGGATTCAATTCACCCACTGACCATCCCACCCTACCAATTCTCGTCCCAATTCTCCAAAGGATCTTCAGATCTACCACCATCCCATGTGCTCGTATGTGGTGGTTGATAACCTATTTGTAACTGATGTTTTGTCGTCATGCGGTTATGAAACCACTTTCCAAACGGGATGCTGAAGCAAGTGGTTGGTTCCTATAATTTATCCAAAGAAATTGGATATGTTCTCCGTAAATACCAAATAAATCATCACCATATGGTCATGAACCACTTCTTATAGATGTCCTTGTCTTACTGGTTGGTTGATTAATAGAGGGGTACCCCCATTCAGCAGCCAATAGGTAAATGATCATAGATAGTATACACCGGCCCAACATTTTCCTAAAAAGGACGATATTCAATATTGCAACGTCTTCCTTAATGTTGTATATCACCTATAGTTATAAGATATTATAATATCCAACAGGTATATTTACAATTATCCAATGTTGTATATCACCTATATTATAATATATTATATAGTTATTATGACTATATCACCTATACTTATATTTAATGATTTAGCATTAAGTCATCACCATATGGTGAAGCAAAGCCCTATCCTTAGGGTCCCTAGGACCTGAGCAGCTCATCGTGATGCCCCTGATGGAGGGCGGATGCTTAACCTCCGCCCTGCCGTTAATGACCTGGGCCCCGCGCGCTGAGTGCTTCGGGCAGACACTTGGAGCGGAGCGAGTTGGAAATCCCGGGTGGTTGGAAGAAAACTGTGTCAAATATGCTGGATTTTAGTAAAGTCCTAGTGAAAGAGAGATGAATTCAACGTTCTTGATCTTTTTGGGGATTAGTCAGTATACATTATTTTTAGTATTAACGAATCTATGGCCGTTTTGATGGGACATATACTAAACACCTTTCACAGAAAGTGCAGGGCAATTATGATTGGCCATGGGAGAACGGAAGAATGCACGTGGTTGAACGGCAACAAATTGGGGTTTTCACCAGCAAAAATGAGAATGTGCGGATTAAAAGAGAACATCATAACGAAACAAACATGGATAAGACAAGGTCGTCTGGGACATTGATCTCCCATTCCATCCCATGGTTAATCATCATCTCTTTTGAATGGCCATTGATGGCCATAAATTGGGGTAGTCCATGGTAGTCCCCAATTTTTGAGGCAAACACGGAGTAGCCATGGAGTTCTATCCATGCGTAGATGATTTTCCTGTTTTAACCTGAGATTTCGTATTGTGACCTTAGAAAAGCAGAGGCCAGCCAGGCCATGCCTCCAGAATCGTAGAGATAGGGCTGAGATCTGTCCCCTGGACGACCGTGGAGGATCGATTATCTTCATTATCTTCATGGTTTTGGATGGTTTTGGTATGTTTTAGTCACTTCTTTTTATACGGGATATATATATATATATATTATTACATGAATGATTAGGTGATGTTAGGTGTATACTTAAATGTGTATCTGTGCAAAAACAAAGCATCCATGCTCATCTTCCGGGGACTCTCAGGGTGGTCACAGCTGTATCATTCCTGCACGGCAAGAAGATGGTTCATCGAGATATCAAAAGCACCTCGGCGTCCCAAGGTTTTCGGCCAGGATCGTCCCAGGCATCGTGGTTTTCTGCTTTTTTATGTGGCTAAGAAGCCGGTTTTTTTGGACAATTCTGGGCTTATCCCATTTATAAATGGGAACGACCTATGGTTACTGAAGTTTTTCCGATTCGTGGGATGATATCCTCCAAGTAACCATCATTCCTGCGAACATCAACCAACAAAAATTGAGATTCAACCTCCCAAAAATGGGCATATAATCCGCAAATGATGGTTGGTTTATGGCGACAGTTGTGGTTGTACACTCAGAGGCTCAGTTGGATATCTCAATCTGTCACTTGCTATCCCTTCATTTGCCGGGGTTCACCATGAATTATGTACTTCTTATTTGTATCACAGCTCTTCAATAGTTTTGTCCCCCGAGTGTATACCATAATTTGCCCTTAAGCAAGGATTGTGGTATTACCACCTTTTATGATTTACAGTTGATTTTCCAGTGAGATCTTTGCGGAACTACCTATCCAACTAAATGCTTAAAAATGCTTCAAATCGCACAAATGATGGTTGATTTTCTTGGCGATTCTCAGTTTGTAGTGATCCCCACGAAAAATTGGGTAGGGGTCAACCCCCGCTAAAATAGGTGTGTATCTTTTGTGGGTCGAAATCAAGGTATCAGATCCTAATCCGCAACAACTTGGTGATTTTTCGTATGAAACCAAATATTGACCAAAGTTTCATGGAATATTCCATTCCATTCATATTCCATTCATATTCATATTTTTAGAGGTACCATCAACTCTGGTAATTCATGGAATATGAATGGAATATTGATGGAATGTTGATGAAATGTTGATGAAATATTAATGGAATATGAATGGATCACATGCCCTCCAATTTGGGTGGTTGATATGTTTCTGCCACACCCACACCCACAGGGCTGTTCCGTAGCTATTATAGGTATATGATAGCCACAAGGGGTGGAAATGTCCCCGTTTTTCCCCTTGTATGTGGGGTGTTGGGAGCAAGGATTTAATTCACCAAAATGGTCATTTAACCATGACATCAATGAAATGTGATCAACAGCAATGATGGTTTACCATCAAAAATGGGATATCTACCTCAATATCAACCTTTTTTTTCATGAAATCAAGAACCAACCATCGTTTATATCAGTCAAACCCCATCGATACCATCCCGTGTCATCAAAGGTGGCGATGGAACATCATGGAAAATCACCCATTGAAACATCCATTTTTAGTGGATTCCCCAGACATGCTTGATGACACCGGAGGGTATATACTCGGTGATAGATACTCAACGTCATAATCTTAGAAACTTAGTTAATAGTTAGATACTCAATGTCAATTTCATTCAATTTTCATAGTTGAATCCTATAATCCTCAATTTCCCCATATGTTTGCTGCTTAACCCCCCCAAAAAAATCCTGCCGAAAGAGGTAGCAACATCTTGCTGGACCGCATGCGACGCCACGCACGCTTGGCCGACTTCGGTTTGGCCAAGGACCAGGTAGACGTTGTACGGTGGTTTTGTCATGGGAAAAATAGGGATGTCAAGCATCAATGGATTGGTTTGTTGGGGAAAATCTTAACCGGAAACCCATGGGTTTTTACCATCAAATTGGTTGGGGTTTCCGGTTAAAATTTTCCCATCATCCAATTCTATGTCAAGCATCAAAAGAAAATAAAAATGCTACGAACATGGGGATTGTAACCACCCAAAACCGTGAGAAACATTGGGATTCGATGAAAAACTTGTTGGTGGTTTCAAACATTTTTTATTTTTCCATATATTGGGGAATAATCATCCCAACTGACAAACTCATATTTTTCAGAGGGGTAGGGCTCAACCACCAACCAGTTATGGAAAAAATAACCTCCATCGAAAATTGCCTGGTTGATGGGTTCATTTCTTGGGGATTATACTAGCTAATGTATTGGCAGTTCTGATAACCCATCATTAGTGGGGAATCCAAGATGTATTGTTAATGGCTCAAGTTTCAAGCATCAAACATGGTGGGAAAAGGGGGAGTAAACAATTAAACATGTGAGAAAATGGGGATTATAGCCATCCAAGATGTGGGAAACATGTCGGAAAATTGGGATTCAATGCAGAACATGGGGATGTATATGTGCTTTATGATAGCTGCTGTTGGTTGAAATAGCTCGTACTTCACTGTTGGGTTTATGGTAGATATATCCAACAATAGTCCATGGGGTGGAACTAAAGGAAGAAACATAAGTGCGCGGCACCACGCTGTAGGAACACGCAGAAAGATCCAGAAGAAGTGAAGTTCACCGCTAGGATTGGATTTATCACTTGTTTGCATCGTTGTTTGTGTTGTCACAATAAAACTACATGATCCGATATGTATTTGTGTATGTAACCACTTATCCAGTTAGTACTAAGTTAGCACATGGCCCCAAAAATCTGGGTTTGTAAGTGTTCTAACCCAAGTTCTTTGGGTTTATATACTAATTAGTTAATTTGATCGTAGATGGTTTACATTTTTTTGTTTACAGAATTGGGTCTGAAAATTGCTGATTAACCTCCAAGACTCCAAGAGTCATGGCATCAAGTTGGGTGAATTGATGATAAACCATTGGATTTGGTGGGTGTGTTTCCCCTGTTCAGACAACATACCAAATCCATTGGATGATGTTGACCTATGACACTTGAAAACCATTCATTCTCTAAAATTGGGCATGTCAAAGAAAACCTGGATAAATGGCTTAGTGGCTTAGTTTGCACCAAATGGCTGGATATCCAATTCTTGCTGGGACAAGCATTGGGGATATGTCTATAAACAGAGTGATGATCATCCAAAAGTATTAGTCATTTGGACCTTAAAACCAGGGTATACCGTTTTTTTTTCCATAGTCATGTTGTTCATGACGAGAAGTTGACTAAATTGTGTGTTTTTGTTGAAGATTTGCTGTGCCAGATGAAGATCCATATTTGTTGGTGGAGACTCCATTGTTCTTCTGCATTGACCAGTTTTAGTATGGGAGCCATACCCGTTTCCTGGTACCAGCATTTTTAAGCAATTAATCCCCATCATTTCATACTGATCCCCACCAAGATTGTTTCAAAAAGTGCAGATCACCTTCAAAACAGTAGGGATTACCTGTTATTCGTTACCTTTTTTTCCATGTTATTTTTTGAGATGGTAAGACCCATCACCAAGGGTTTTGGGGCTATAATCACCGATGATAAGATCTCTCTGCGAAGCAGGTGAAGGGTTCTGTGCATGGGACTACTGGCATCGTTGCATCTTGGTGTGGCATTTGAAATGGGCAGAAAAAAAAACATGGGGTTGGGAGGTTTAATGTGGTTTTATGTGGTTTTGATCACACTAAACTTGTTGGTTTCTTCCATATACCTGCACCGTGTTTATGGGTTTTTTTGTGCGGTTTTTCATGGTCTATACAATCTATACATGCTAACCCTCTGGTAATCAAACGCTGGCTGGGAAATCCCCTGTAAATATGGATGTTTTTCACTGGGAAGCCATCTATACCCTCTGGTAATTTGTTACAGTTTGCTATTGAAAATGGCCATTTATAGTGAGTTTTACCATTAAAAATGGTGATTTTCCATAGTTATGTTAGTTTACCAGAGGGTACATTTCATCATTTTGGACATTGCCCGTTGGCATGTTTGATAGATGGTACACAGATTAATGCTGATGAATGATGCTATTTATATACAGCCAAGCGAGTTGCAGGAAGCAGTTAAACTGATATTCAGGGTAGCCAACAGTATGGCATGGGTGCCTCTCCAAATGGGACACCTTTCAAAAATATATGATCATTCAAAAAATTGGAATACAGTGAACCAATGGATTGACAATCTATCTGAATCTAACTGACTACCTCTAACTATAGCCATCTAATATCCGACTAGCATCAATTATCTAAGATTATGTCATTAAATATTAAGTGTCTAACTATCAACTCGTAAGAATCTACTGTCTAACTAGCCATCTAAGTATCTATCTTTACCTATCTACAACAAACTCCGGTATCATCAAACGTGGCTGGCTGGGAAATCCACAAACTAAAGAAATGTGTGTAATTAGCTGGGAATATCATCTATATATGTAACTAATTAACTATTAAGTGAGTAACTAATATCTATAAATGTGTAACTAATTAACTATATAACTAACTGACATTAAGTGAGCATCAACTGACATCAACTGACATGTCTGACTGTTTCTATGTATTTTTGTGTTTTTTTTCCATACATACATCCATACATACATCCACACGATTCGATGTATGATGTGTGTTTGTTCACATATAGTGACCGACTTACATTTTGGAGTAAACATAACCCCAAAAAGGTTCTAAGTGTTGGGTTTTTCGTTTTTGCAAAAATCAACACTTAGAACCTAAAATTGGAAGGGGTTCTAAGTGTTTGATCAAACATTTTGAAAAACATTTAGAGGTTCTAAGTGTAAGTCGGTCGCTATAGTCAGATTCGCTTTCCTCGCAGCAGGTGGGCTCCCCCGGCTATATGGCTCCGGAACTCATGATGCGCCCGGCCAACGAGAAGACCGATGCCTTCGCACTGGGCATTGTGCTGTGGCCCGGCATGGAGATTCGTTACCAAATATCCCAGACGCAAATATGGAAGATGTTTAGGGGAAAATAAAAATGGAACGGGATATGAACCGGAAAAGAAAGATGGTCATTTAATGGGACTTAATGAGATATCAATGGGGATATACAATGGTAAAAATACTTGATTTTCCTACTAAAACCTTCGGTTGATTACCAGAGGGCAAATGATCAACTTTGGGACTTCACATGTTAACATGTCTTTTGTTCCAGGGATTTGCGAATGGAAAATGATTGGATCCATTCGCAACGAAAGTGGAGGAGGTTTGAACAGCAATCATCCAACAAGAATCTGGAATCAGGCAAAACAAATTACGAATTCAACGGGGGAATCTTACCAACTAAATTGCGGGTTTCTCCGGGAAACACAGCGGAACTGTCATGTGCGTGTTGAAGCTGAGCAGGGATTCAAGGCGGAAAGCTAACGAAATTATGTCAAATGGGCAGCGAATCAGACCAACATCTTCCAGAAGTATACCTTATTTCACTAGGAGCAGAATGGGGTGCCCCATAAATAGATGTGTGTGTGTGTACCATCTGTATAGATGTAAAACTTCATTATACTGCAGGGGCGCGCCTTCTGTTGCTAGTTACGCCATGTCGGCTCCTCCCCCACCGCCTCCAAAAGGTAAGGGTAAGAGTGGCATGTCTGGGGCAACTGACGCCCTTCGTGCACTCGCTGGACTTCAAACTACGCAAGAGCAGCAGACAGCAGTTGAGGCAGCGCAGAAAGCCCGCACATTGAAGCGGCGCGCTGAGGATGTCTTACCAGACTTTGGAGTTGAAGAGCAACATCAGTGAGCATGTCCCAGTTGCTCTCACCCAGTTTGGTAGGAATGCCTTCCAGGCAATCCTGTCAGCTATGGTGGCTTCAGCAAAGTATGGCGTCAACCGGACCATTCCATTCCTCTATGCAATGATGGATTACTTGGTGCTGATTGGAGTGATCCCCTACCAGTATTCTCAAGATGCCACTCTCCAGACAAGGCTATCCTACGGCAACGGAGCGTGCAGACTACACAAACGCCTTCCACAACTCTAAAGTCTCCATGCGTGTGGCACTCATGTCCTGCCACACGCAACGAAGCTGTGGACATGAGTGGGAAGGGAAACGTGGCCGGATTCCTGTACCTGCAGCTTTTTATATATATATATACATATATATATATGTGTATGTATATGTGTATATATATATATATATAGTCCCCCCCCTGGGCGCATTTACGTCGCAGCTGGGGGGGACATATAATTTATCGCTATTGGTTTATATGGTCAACGTCGACTGTGATTTTACGTCTTTATATTTGTATGTACATATATATATATATATTCATCGTGTCAATTAATCGTTGGTGTTTTTGCACGTCAGATGCATTCCACAACAAAATTCGCACTGACAGTTCTGAGCAAGTGTGTGGCGGCATTTTCACTCTGTGGCTGTAAGGGTGTGTATATATATATAACGTTCATCATTCAATTCATTCTATTTCGTGGAGAACCATCCGGGCTTTAGGAGTGTCCGCAGCAACGAATCCAAAATTGCCACAGGGCATATTTGGCTGGTGGTTTCAGATAGCTGTTAGTCTTGCATTCGTAGCTGGGAAGATGGTTTCACGTTGACCGGTATTCCTCAAGGGGGTTCAATCACCAACCAGTTGCAGCATTATTGCTGGTTGGTGGTTTGGAACATGAATTTTATGTTCCATGATATATGGGATAATCCTTCCCAACTGACTTTCATATTTTTCAAGATGGCTAAAACCACCAACCAGTATTGCTTCCCACCGTCATATTTCTTGGTTTGCATGTCTCCTTTGGTACATTCCCAACCTCCCAGAAGATAGAACAGTTGTTAATCCCAATCATCACCCAGGTGATCAAAGTACAATACAATATTTCTCCTAAAATCCACCTTGGGTGGAATTAAAATGAATTACCCTCTGATAGCGAACTGGAAAATCACCTTTTGGAATAGGTAAATCAATTGTTAATGAACCATTTTCAATAGCTATGTAACAAATTATCAGAGGGTAAAGGGAAAGAAATTGGAGGTTCTACTCGTTGATTCTCCCCCACCTCGAAGGTTAGAGATCCTGACAGGGCAAGGTGCATGGAACGAGGTGGGACCAGGGGCCGCAGATGGAGATGACGGGCTGCTGTTATGTTAGGCGAATCGGGGGATCCATGGTGCCATAGATGGTAACATAGAACCCATCAATATACCCCCTTTATGTTAGCATATATACCAGCACCATGGATCCTATGGGATATAGTTACCCTAGTTTCATAGTTTCATAGCTTTAAATGTTAACCGTTTTTGATGGGAAGATAGACTACTGGATCCCGAGGACCATCGTTCAGGGGTTGATTAATGTGGTACACTGTGGTGCCCCCCTGTTTTGTTGATTGGTTTTGGAAAGCCCATGAAAAGTAGTTCGAAAAATATACCCGCCATAAAACCCAACAGTGACATACGTTGGTTATTTCAACCAACTTACAACTATATCATACAATAAATCACAGTTTTTAACTGGATTGAATCCCCATTTTCCCACATGTTGGATGGTTTGAATCCACATTTTTCCCATTGTTCGATGGTTGACATCCCCCATTTACCCATCGAAAATGGCACGACGATGCTGCCAGGCTCGTGACGCGATGGTGTGGTGCCCCGAGACCGAACCCGGTTGATGGATGAAATCCTTTGAGCTATTAATCATTATAAGTATAGTAGATGAGTATAGTATATTTTATACTATTATTATTCTGAAATTATTCTGAATGGTTTATAGTGTTTTTGTATATATAGATGGGTAATACTAGAATAAAAAAATATAGCGTATTACAACAACTATAAGTAGAGTAATTATCGAGCACTGTCCCCACCACATGTAGATCATCGAGCATATTAGGCGGTGGTTTTCAAAATTCTGGGGTTGTGGCTATTGAGTGACCTTTACCTTGATGGTCTGCAATTATCCCCGTGTTTTCCACGTAAGGCTTGGGCCATCTTCGATGACACCGAAGGGTAAAAAACACTATTCCATCATATTCCATCAATATTCCATTCAATGGATTGATTTAAGGGAAAATCTATAGGAAACCATAGATCTTCCCATAGATCAATGGCATGTTTTCCTGGGCTCCCATCATAACCAATCCATTGATCCATCTGATCAAGGCCCTGGGTGATGCTGCTGTCTCCGATGGAGCCTTTCAGGTGGAGTCCAAGTCGTGGGGTGATAGCCCATTTACCCAACCTGGTTATGACTAACATAGCCATGGAAAGATCCACCATTTTTAATAGGTAAACCAATGTAAACCATCTATTTCTATGGGCCATTTTAATTTTCCATGGCTATGGAAAATTGCCCATTTACAGATCACTTTTCCAGCTATAAACCTCCATTTATAATGTAAGGGATTTTCCATGGCTATGTTAAATAACCAGATGGTATATCTGGTTACTCTGGGGGATATACCATCTGGTTATGACTAACATAGCCATGGTATAGATGGCCCATTTATAAATGGTTTACCTATTAAAAATGGTGATTTTCCATGGCTATGTTAAATAACCAGATGGCATCCCATTTATGGGATAATTGGGATATATAGTAACCATAATTTATCATTTATAAATGGGTACATGATATAACTATGGTTACTGGGATAAATTGATGATATACTGGGAATATCATGCGGGCCATGTCCAGAGATGGATTGTACCTCACAGCCAGAAAAAATGGGTGATGATTAGCCATGAGATAGTGGTGGCTCCCTAGTTTCAGGCAAAGCCAAATGGTTGGATAGGAAATTGATAGCAATTATGGTCAGTTATATAAATCTATAAACTGGGTGTTGAAATGGGATGGGTTTGAAGCAATTAGACATGTCAATTGCCAATTGGCGCCAGTATTGACCGGCCAATTATCACTACTTGGAGTCACTGAGTGTGATGATCTTCCAACCCAGCTTTATTGGTCTATATATATATATCCCCATTTTTGATGATGAATTTCCCATTAACTGATAACATCGGAATTACATTACATGATAGTACATGTTATTCCTCATTTTGCCTATTCCCATGTTTGCAGTTTTTGTTCGTCTATACGCACGTGATACAATAAGGTAAAGCCGGATTTTATTACTGGCCCATACCAATGGGATGATGTAAAACGACTGATGGTTGCTGGATGGTTTATACAGTAGCAGTTTACCACACTACTTGCAATAGAACACGTGGGTTATGAGTTATAACCCGTCATAAAGATTTATTACCCATAATATACAGATGTGGGTTAGTTCTGCTTCATCTGAATATTCAGGAACTGGGTTATGCTCTGATGCAACCCAGAATATCGCAGTTACCCGACCCATTTAAAGATGATATAACGTACCTATCCGTACCTATTAAAAATGTGTTTTTTCATTGCAAACTGTTAACATCAATTTGCAATGTTGATTATATCCCCATGAATTCTTCATTATATGATTATATTATATATATATATGTACAGTATATATATCCCATATTTCCCCATTACATCCCCATTAAACCCTCATTGTCAAGCATATTTATCCCCATAGTATTGGAGATGTCCAAAAAAAAATCAGAGGCGCGTAAAGCAGAGCCGCCAGATGCTGCCAGGTGTCCATGCTGGATCATAGTGCTGGCTGGCCTGACTTGGAGGTCCAGCCCAGCATGGGAGGTTATGAGTAATCCCAAAATCCACAATATACCCATAATTAATAACCTCCTAATTAATATTAAACCTCCCAAACATCCCAAAAATATATGGATTAGGAGGCTAATATACCCAATAATAATCCTTTCCCCCTAATTAATATCTAAAAATCCTTTTGAAACCATGGTTTAGTAGGGGTTTTCCACATTTCTTTGGGACCATGCAATTTTTTGTGTGTTTAATATTAGGGTGATGGGATTATTTATGGATTAGTATATTATATTATGGATAACCATAATTTAACATATTTCAATAATTTTTAATCATGGTCGTCCAGCGTCCCCAATGTTTACCCTCCTTTTTACCATCTTTTTGGTGGGCCAAATTGGTAGTTGCCATTGGTAGCGATGGTTGCCATAAAAATAGATGGGAGAGTCCACTTATAGATGCACCACGTCGGATACTGTTGTGAAGCAGTTACTCAATAGGGCGATCTTCCAACTGCTATTCAGTAAAAATTGGGGTCGTAAGAATTGGGGTGGTTGATAGTCCTGCTTTTCATGGATACCTCCTGGTAAATCAACAGTATACACTGGTAGGACAAAAGTTGCGCTTGTTGAGCTTCCGACGGTGAACATGTTTGGTTTCTTCTTCTGCACACCCTTTCCCCTTAGAATCCTAGCATAGAGCTTTGTCGTACCCCGGTCGAATTTCCACCCTCCAAAAGCTTTTAATCTTATAGATTTAAAAGCGGGTGATAATTGACCGTCCCACACCTGCCACACGAAATGGACTTGGAAATGTGATCCGCGGTTGACCGAGATGGATGCTTTGTCAAGCTGTCAAGAAGCATAAACTTTGTTCCTCCTGAAGGGTAAAAAAAGCTTATTCAGTGGGAATTGTCAAGTCGGCTGCTGCTTGTTGCACGTGCTTCAGCTTGGTCATCATACTCCACATAAAATATCTGCATCCTCTGGTTTCAAAGCCTTTCTGTGCAGCACCCTTGCCTTCTTCATTGTTGCCATGGCGTCTCATTTGCAACTCTTGTCGGTCGAGGATTTTGGGAAACGTCCATACTCTTGTCTGCAATGCTACACCTGTGCCGTGACGCACTGGTAGGACAAAAGTTGCGCTTGTTGAGCTTCCGACGGTGAACATGTTTGGTTTCTTCTTCTGCACACCCTTTCCCCTTAGAATCCTAGCATAGAGCTTTATCGTACCCCGGTCGAATTTCCACCCTCCAAAAGCTTTTAATCTTATAGATTTAAAAGCGGGTGATAATTGACCGTCCCACACCTGCCACACGAAATGGACTTGGAAATGTGATCCGCGGTTGACCGAGATGGATGCTTTGTCAAGCTGTCAAGAAGCATAAACTTTGTTCCTCCTGAAGGGTAAAAAAAGCTTATTCAGTGGGAATTGTCAAGTCGGCTGCTGCTTGTTGCACGTGCTTCAGCTTGGTCATCATACTCCACATAAAATATCTGCATCCTCTGGTTTCAAAGCCTTTCTGTGCAGCACCCTTGCCTTCTTCATTGTTGCCATGGCGTCTCATTTGCAACTCTTGTCGGTTGAGGATTTTGGGAAACGTCCATACTCTTGTCTGCAATGCTACACCTGTGCCGTGACGCACTGGTAGGACAAAAGTTGCGCTTGTTGAGCTTCCGACGGTGAACATGTTTGGTTTCTTCTTCTGCACACCCTTTCCCCTTAGAATCCTAGCATAGAGCTTTGTCGTACCCCGGTCGAATTTCCACCCTCCAAAAGCTTTTAATCTTATAGATTTAAAAGCGGGTGATAATTGACCGTCCCACACCTGCCACACGAAATGGACTTGGAAATGTGATCCGCGGTTGACCGAGATGGATGCTTTGTCAAGCTGTCAAGAAGCATAAACTTTGTTCCTCCTGAAGGGTAAAAAAAGCTTATTCAGTGGGAATTGTCAAGTCGGCTGCTGCTTGTTGCACGTGCTTCAGCTTGGTCATCATACTCCACATAAAATATCTGCATCCTCTGGTTTCAAAGCCTTTCTGTGCAGCACCCTTGCCTTCTTCATTGTTGCCATGGCGTCTCATTTGCAACTCTTGTCGGTTGAGGATTTTGGGAAACGTCCATACTCTTGTCTGCAATGCTACACCTGTGCCGTGACGCACTGGTAGGACAAAAGTTGCGCTTGTTGAGCTTCCGACGGTGAACATGTTTGGTTTCTTCTTCTGCACACCCTTTCCCCTTAGAATCCTAGCATAGAGCTTTGTTGTACCCCGGTCGAATTTCCACCCTCCAAAAGCTTTTAATCTTATAGATTTAAAAGCGGGTGATAATTGACCGTCCCACACCTGCCACACGAAATGGACTTGGAAATGTGATCCGCGGTTGACCGAGATGGATGCTTTGTCAAGCTGTCAAGAAGCATAAACTTTGTTCCTCCTGAAGTATAGCGGATAGCAAAACATACAAAAAGCTATTGAAAATGGCCCTAGAAATAGTTGATTTACCTATGGAAAATGGTGATTTTCCACTTCGCCAGGTTAAATTACCAGAGGGTATGAATCATCAAAAAATCTTCGTGTAGCCGGTGACCAGTGACCATGGCTGGCCAATTCCCCCTAGGACGGTTTACGACCAGTGTACTGCGTGGGATGAACCAGGGTTATGACCATGTACAGTACTGGTTTTACCCTCTGGTTATGTCAAAATAGCTATTGAAGATGACCATTAATAGTGGATTTTCCCATTAATAGCATGGTGATTTTCAATAGCTATGTTAAATTACCAGAGGGTATATGATTTTATAAACTACAACAGTCATCAGATCCAAAGATGAGGTTAAGGGAAACAGACTGGTGATATTGGTCGCTTGGTTGGTGGTTGGTAGATGAGGTGTAAACCATCAAACCTACGATGTGAAGAACTAATCTTTGGGAAACGACAGCAATACAATTGTTTTTTTTCGCTTCTGCTTGGAGGAATCGGCTATCTTCCCTCAGCCTTGTCGGCGGTGGCAATACATGATCCCATCATTGAAACATCTCCATTGATGTTGGTGTTTAATGATGTTTAATTAATGGTGTTCAATGGTGTTTAATTAATCTCATTGAAAAGTTCCATCTTCCATTGTTTTTACATCTGTTTAAAGATGTTTATCCCCATGTCACAGGACTGTAGCTTCTAATCATGGGATAAGTTTCAGTGTCTCCCATCGCGCAGGTACAAGTCCTTGGCAATTATGCCGCAACTTGGCTCCTGACATGGGAGGAGCGGTCGATGTTGGAAAGTTTCATATGGAAATTTGAAGGTGTTTGGCCATATTTTTAGCTGTTTTTTGGTTCAATCCTCATGTTCTGGTCGATTTAGACTCCAATGTTGGTCCGTTTCCCGCTTCCATCTTTCTGAGTAGCTTACTGTATAACGTAGTCTAATATGTTTAATCACTTGCCATAAATGGTGATATATCAATTCAACCAATATATTAATCAGCCAAGAATCCATTTTTTTCGTAGGGTGTATAAGATTAATCGTGTGAATGTAATCTTGTTTATTGCGGGGAGTTTATAGGTATAACCGTATAACCGAAGAATTGTCTTTCTTACTGTTTTTGCTGGTCGCTCATTCCAGCTACTTTTTTTGCTAGAATTGGTGGTGAAACGGTGAAACCAGATCCCGTTAGGACCACCGTGCCCCATATGGCTTTGAAGGGTATCCCAAAATCCCGTTGAGGATTTTTCCATAATGGCAATGAAATTGGGGATACAACCCCCCATTTTCAGGCAGATTTTCCATATGGTTTCCATATGTTTTCAAATCGAGGTCTTATTGACCTCCTTCGACCCCAATCAACGCGTCACTTTGGCGTCCATGGAAGAGTCCCAACCTTACAAGGCGACTGGGCAAAGGTTGGGCGACCCTCAAAAGGATACACATGGGATGAAATGGGGATGAGTCAAAACGTACTGTGAATGGAAGAGATCCTGCACCAGTTGGTAGATGGTTTATCCTCTAAAAGTCCCATTATGTACAGTGTTTCATAGTTACTAGTAGTTTCCAACTGGTGCAGGATTTCTTCCATCCACAGTATGAAATTCACTCAAATACCATATTTCGGGGAGGAACATGATGAACATCCGCTTGCCAGCTATTTTGGCCTGAGAACCAGGGAACCAGGCTGTTGACCCACACCCGTCAAATCCTACAATGTTTTTGTGGCAAATAACTGTTCTGCGGAAGAAAATGGTGGTATAACCAATTTGACAAAGAGAAATTACCATCTGGTTATTCAACATAGCCATGGAAAATCACCATTTTTAATAGATAACCATCTATAAATGGGCCATCTATACCATGGCTATGTTAGTCATAACCAGAGGATATATAGGATATATCAACAACAGAAGTGGAGGTACAACTAACCACCAGCCAGTCTTACTGTAGATTTCAACCGACAACCATGGGGATTGTGTCAGCAAGAAAGAAATGTCCACAATGAAAGCATCAGAATAAAACCAAGTACAATCGACTTTAAAACATCCAGAAAAGACTGCAAAAAGCAAGTTCTGGAAATCACCAGTAGGGGAGGAGTTCACTGGGTAATCCGACGGGTGAAGGCTTGGTTGTGATTATGTTCTGACTATTTGAGTGGTGGATGTGCTCATACTCCACTAATTAACAAATTGCCTTCTTAAGAACATCTAAGGTTGGCCATGATCAATGATCATCCCAGTTTTCCTGACTTGTGTAAGGGACTAACAGACATTGTCAACGTGAAATGGAATATATTGGACTATCAAAGTTCTATGATAAAACACACAATTCTACCTATGATTTCGAGAAAACAAATCAAACATGTAATTAATCAATCCAAACGCATGAAACTAGACCTAGGATTGTTTTGAGCACTTCCCAGCTCTGGTTACCTATCACCCACTCGCAGTGGATAGTGAAGATTGTATCATAAGGCGCCAAAAAGACCCTCAGGATGTCACATGTTGCGATCATACTGGTGACTGGCTTCCTAGATACACCAAGGTCCCCATGAAAACCTGCCAGGAACATCTGAATCGTGCCAAGAGCGCAGCTGTGTGATGGTCACATGACTCGAAAATCGCGGGGTGCATCTGGACAAATTATAAGGACCTCTCATAATTGGGTTGATTTTTGGTGAATTGGTATAAATCATTTGATATCATATCAATATATAATATCATGAATATAGATGGCTTTATCGAAGAAAGCATCCTCCTCAGTCGCCGCAGATCATGCCTGTCTGATAAGCTAAAAATATGGTTGTATGGCCTGCTGGGAAACCCCCATTGTTATCAGATAATCATAGATGAACAATTTTCCATCACCAGGTTGAAACGCCGAAATCTCATTCCTCAGTCAGTCTGGCTATCGCTTGCAATCCAAATGACACAGGGGGATTATACTGTTATCAGGGTTGGCTATGATTACCATTATCATTCTTATCATGATCATTACCATTCTTATCATTATCATTCTTATCATTATCACTATGGTTATCATCATTGTAGTGCTGTTAGCATAGTTAGTATCATTGTCATGTCCATTATCATTACCGTTATCACTACCATTACCATTTTCATTATCATCATTGTTCGAATCATGTTTATTATTTTTTATTATTCATCGTGATTATCATCATTATTCGTCACTATTCTTCTTGTTATCAGTATTCTATCACCCTTATCATTCGTAGCATCAATAATGAATAAATCAATAAATATGTTATACATATATACATATATATACATATATATATACACATATATATATATATACATATATATATATATATATACATATGTATATATATATATCGATTTCTTGTTAATCAAGAATCTTTACTGTAAGATTTATGACCAGGTGGTCATGTAGCAGGTGTCCCAAAGCCTCGGAGCGAAGCGGAGCGAAGCGGAGCTGAATTCGATGTTGAATTCCCAGCTACCACCATTTAAAGTATGATTTTCCCAGCTATCATATATAACATATATGGATATAATATTCCATATATGGGATTTAAAGTATGGATATATGGATATAATCATATATAATCCCATATATGATGATATTCATAATTGATTATCCCAAGATTTTCTGTTGGTTTTCCCATTTCGTAAGGCACCAAAAAAAGCTCGGGATACCGAGCTGACCGGAGGGTCTCCTGAAAGTTGCGATTCTTGAGTCAGCAGTGACACCACCATCGTCTTCCCACCCGCCTGAGGCGGGTCGGCACGGCGGAACCACAAGCGGTGGTCTGATGTATGGGGCGACAACGACTTACACTAATTCAGTAGGAAATTCAAGGATGTACTGATGTAAGTAGTTATAGAATTTGAATTCATTGCTGGTCTTGCACTGGTCAGATACAACAAAATCAACAAACATGATGTTTAAGCCAACAAAATAAGAATATATCAGTTATATCAGCAAAAATAGCTGTGGGCGATGCGCCACAAGTAACCGAAAACATACCATTGTTTTGTGCCGAATTCATGACGAGCACCATGTGATGTTCGGGGTCAACATTTTGAGACACACCATATCAATGGCACCACAGCTGATACCTATACCGGCTATCCTGGAATCCTCAGGAGTCTGAATCGCTTGTGGTTTCTGTCCGTTTTTGCTCGCCACACGCCGCTTGCGCGGCGCACGTGCACCAGCGGCGCTTCGTGGGGGGTGGCTTCCGTGTGAAGATCTGCGAAGGGTAATCCTAGCTTCGGTGGGTACTGCTTGATGCAATAGTCATTACCACGGGAAGTTGAGATACATATTTATAGAAACATGTTTTTAGTAATTGGACAAGGTACACATGGAAAAAACATGGAAAAAACATGTGATATCCTGTAGCTAGGATGTATTGGCCATTATTGGCCCTCATTCGAATGGATCTTTGACCAATGTCTTAATCAATGTCATGCATCTCGGAGGGAGGTGATCTATCTCAGATACAGCCACACTTCGTGGGTGTCTACATATTCTTTAGGCAATATTATCTGGTTGGTGCTTTAGGACATGAATTTTATGACTTTCCATATATTGGGAATAATAATCCCAACTGACTAATATTTTTCATAGGGGTTGAAACCACCAACCAGTTATTATACAATTCCATCCTGCAGGAAACTAATGACCCTAAGAATGGACCTGAAGATGATTACACGCAAAACTAAACCAGGGCTTCTATCCAATGACATGCCATTACATTGCATGAAATGACATGACATTACATACCCTTTGGCAGTTTACCCTAGCTTTGGAAAATATTATTTTTTCAAGACGTTAAATCCTCTATAAAGTGTCATGTCGTCCATACCAAGCCGTTAAAGTACCAGGTAGATCCGATTTCAAGATTTAGACTCCCCTTTACCAAGGTTTGGTGAGTCACCAAACAGTCCAACATAAAACAGCTTCTCACAGGAGCGCGCCACCGCGCAAACTCGTAACTCGTTCCTTCGTCTGGTGTCATGGACTACGTTCCAAGCCTTCTTGGATGATCATCGCCGGATACGCTGCGACAGTTTTGCCAAAAATTCGTCGAAACCCAAAAAGGTCACCAATAAATAGATATAAATAGGTCATATAGCAGCTAATATAGCAATAAATAATAGATCACTAGGTTATGATAGTACTATATTAATCATCAATGACATATAATGGTTGATATAATGGTTGATAGAATGGTTGATATAATGGTTAATGGTTGATGTCATGGTTAACCCTTATATCAACCATTATATCAACCATTATATCAACCATTCTATCATTATATCAACCATTATATCAACCATTATATCAACCATTATATCAACAATTATATCAACCATTATATCAACCATTATATCAACAATTATATCAACCATTATATCAACCATTATATCAACCATATTATCAACCATTATATCAACCATTATATCAACAATTATATCAACCATTATATCAACCATTATATCAACCATATTATCAACCATTATATCAACCATATTATTAACCATTATTGGAATCCAGATCGCACGTCCGTTCTTTTTTTTGTGGTCTGTGAATGTCTGTGATCCCGGTTCGAACGGATTTGTCGACCTGACCTGCCACGGAATCCCACCGCACCGACTTTAAAAAAGACGTGCGGCCCTGTGGTCCAATCGGCTGTCAATGAGGACAAGTTTGTTTATAATATAGATAGATAAGATAAGATAAGATTAGATTAGACTAGATTAGATTATATAGATAGATAGGTAGATAGAAAGAAAGATAGATAGATGATAAGTTATAGGTGAAAAAATAAAGGGATGCCAATTTGCTCTCCCATAATTTTCTAGAATCATTAGGTAAATGCGAAGATTTGACTCTTCTTGGGTGTTTTCAGTTACAGGTACTTGTAGATGATTTTTTACGGAGCACCTATGGTTTGTTGACAATCCACCTGTTCATGCTTGCCATTTGAGGACAGACTTGCTTTATCTTTGTGATTTGGGATTCTAAGTGGTTTCATCGGGCTGAGCCCACAGATATCACGATTCTCGCAGTTCATCAATATTTCTTGCTGTTTCACCAGCAGTTTCGGTCAGTTTTCTCCCAACCTACTGTAAGATGGTCACCAATCCCCATCTGCTTGGTGGTTTGGAACATGAATTTTATGATTTTCCATATATTGGGAAGAATAGCCCCAACTGACTAATATTTTTCAGATGGGTTGAAACCACCAACCAGCCATTGTTTCGGTCTGAAAGATGTGTGTTCCTTTAATTGTCCATTGATCATAATCAATCATAGCTGATTGTTCATCAATGGCCGATTCTCACCTAACCTAGGAGAATTGTTGGTCTGGATAATTATGGACCATTACCATGATCCATGATTCATGATCCATAATTCTCAATCAATTATGATTATCTTATCCATTACCCCCTGGTAATTTAACATAGCTATTGAAAATGACCATAGAAATAGTGGATTTACCCAGCTAGAAAATGGTGGATTTGTCCATTTGTCCATAGTTATGTAAGCGTTTTCCAGTGGGTAGATGATTTTAAAAAAAAAAAACATACTTTAAACCTCCATCCATGCTTCTATAGGGGATTTCCCCATGGCCCATGCTGCTGGATGATGGATAGTCGATGATAATCGACATCCAAATCTAGCAAAAAAACACCGTTTTATAGTTAATCAGTCCCATATCATATTGATGGTAATGTTAATGTATGTATATATATATACAAATTATAACATATATATATCATATATATATATACATACATACATGTACGTATATTATTATAGTGTATCATGATGTGTCCCACTCACTATATGTCATTCCAATGCCATAAATGGATGTTTCCTAAGTCATTAAGTCATGGGTACCCCACATCTTCCAAGCCATTGGATCCGTATTGAGAAAGCCCCATATATATAGTGGAAATACAGTGGAAATATCATGGAATTTAGGATACATGGGGAATTTCCACTATATATGGGGAATTTATGGAGTTATGGAAATATCATGGAATTTCCTAAGAATTTATGGACATATCATGGAATTTAGGGTTTTCTTGCCATTTCTTTAGGGTTTCTTGCCATTTCTTCTTGGGGAAATCCCCGATGTCCGAGCGCGGACACGGCGGAGGCGCAAGTGGATGAACTCTTGCGAGAGAACGCAGGGATGGCCCAGCAAGAGCAAGGACTTTCTCGGCCGGAGATCGGATGGGGGGTTCAAATAATGTGGCTGGTCGTCACTGAAACTGGTTGGTGGTTTGGAACCATGGAATTTTATGACGTTCCCATCATATTGGGAATTTCATAATCCCAACTGACGAACTCCATCATTTTTCAGAGGGGTAGGTATACCACCAACCAGATAATAATTTTATTATTGGAAATCATCACTCTTACATTTGTTGAAATACAGGACAGTCTACATTTTCTAGCTTCAACAATCAACTGTTTACCAAGACGGGTTATAGCAAAGAAATCTCTTTCGCATGTTCACCGACAAACACGGGCAACGTGCGCAGCTGTGACTCTCAGCGATGATCCTTCCCAGTGCCTCCCTGCGTATCACAAAACAGAATCGAATACCATTCCAAAAATCCTTTCTGAACAAACTTATACATACATATATATATACATACATACATACATACATAACCAGTCTTTACCAACCAGTCTTTACCAACCAGTCTATACCAACCAGTCTTTACCAACCAGTTAACCAACCAGAGGCCATCCCAGTAGCATATATGCTCATAGAAAAAACAGCTTATGATCACCAAAGAGCTATAATTTCATCCAGTTGGGATAAACCTGTTTAAACCAACCAGTTCAACCACTGATCAGAAGAGAACAGTTGAAAGGAACTAATATATATATATGTGATTGTATTGTGATATTACAATGATCAAATATATATATATACATATATATATAGATGTATAGAGTTCAATAAATAAACTCCATTGGTGTATAATATATATATATATACATACAGGTTTCCTAAATGGTGGTATCCCTAAATCATCCATCGTAATAGGAGCATTAATCCACTGATGAAATCATCCAGCTGAGGCGCAACTCCGGCTGGATCGTCCACGGCCTTTCGCTTCGCCGGGAGTTGCATCCCCAGTGGCTATCAGTGGCTCAGGTTTCCTCAAATGCTGCCCCCAAATCATCCTTAAAACTTAAAATTGCTCAAAAAAATGGGAAAACCAATGGTTTGGGGTACCATAAAATTTTAAGAAGGTAACCATATTTTACAGGATGGTGCCCCCAAACGTGATGTGAACGTTGGTTTATAAACCCCATGAAAACTAGTTCGTTATATCTACCGATAAACCATAGTTAAGCCACTTATGAGGCAACTTAGCTATCTTGGGTGGCCCCATCCTGTGGGATTTTTTTGGGAGGCTAGGTGAGGGTAGTGGAATTCTGATGTTTGAGTAGCAAAATTTTGGAGTTTTTGAGCATTGGATAATATGCCATCAAATGTAATATTCCACCTTGAAATCTTGCCAGCTTAACATGGAGGTACTGTTTTTTCTGAAAATATCCTTTTGAAATATGCTGTGCTTAAGCAGGTTGCAAACGGTTTATGCGATGACCCAACGTCTGATTGATCGCCCAAAATGTGGCTTTTGGCGCGGTTCAATGCCTCAAATCCGCTAGGTAGGTCATCATTATGTGGGTAAACAACTTACCTGGTTGGTGGTGATTTACTCTATGTTTTGGGATATGGTGGTTAATAGGGATATTAATAGTGGTTAATAGGCTATAAACCAACAACAATGGGAATATGATGGTGATCTGGTTGGTGGTTTGGAACATGGCTTTTATTGTCCCCAATAGCTGGTTTATGATGATCCAATCTGACTCATATTTTTCAGGGGGGTAGGTATACCACAACCACCAATTAGTTACCGGTTCTGCCGGTTCTCTGGTTGTCAGATTTGTCACTTTTTTGGGGGAATCCCGGAATCCCGGAATCCCTATGTCACAGCTTTGGGGATGACAGAGGGTGAACTGGACACAAGCCAATCGCTATACAAGTGCGAACGACTCAAGATGGCAGGATGTCATGAATTTCAATTGAAAGTATTGAAAGTATCAATAGATACATCACAAAATATATAATCGATGTCATCAATTATATTATATACATGTATCTTTGCTTCGCAAAGATAGTAAACTATCACACTGCTATTATCCACTGCTATGATTGTTGTTATTGGCTAGTATCTGTGTATCCATTTCTACATATGTCTACTATTACTACAACTATATCACTACTACTATATCAGTACGTCCATTAACTAGGGTTTATGGGGGTTATATCTATAGTTAATGGGGATTATAAACCAACAAACATCACTGGGGGGCACCACCTTGTAGCAGCTGAGGCTGGTCTGGGCAGTCCGGAGACACAGGATCCCACCTTGGCTCGAGCTGAGGCTTGGAAAATGTCGAAGTCAGAGGGATCACCCATGAAATTCGCTGCTGTTTCCATTCAAAGCTCCATGTTTGGTGGTGTATTTCCCCATATGTTTCCATAGCTGTCCCTAATATAAACCAATTCTTAATTCCAATCAACTCAATCAACCATTTTGTTGGAAATCCCCATATTTTCTTGGTTCCTAATATGTTGAAAAATGGGAAATCCATATGTTCAACCTGAGGATTTCCCCACTTCCCGACAAAATTCACGGCCAGGACTTGGGCGAACTGCGACGCCTTCATGGAGAGGCCTTCTGCCAGCGTTCGTTCGTCGCTTTTTTGGATGAAACTGGGGGATAAACCATGACTTACTGGTGCTAAACGTAAGGAATTTTTGGGAATGATTGAGATTTTCACTAGTAATAATCATCCCAGCAACCCCCAGTCCCATCCATTCCCTACTAAGCACCAGTAAGATGACTAAGTAATGATTAATGTTAACCCCGGATTGATAGACCATGGTTTATGACAATTAGGGGGCTACTCCTCCAATAGTCATAATCTAATACTTTTTAATGATACCTCCCAATTAAGCAGCCGTGCTAGGGGTTTATTAATCCAGGGTTGACATTAATACTAATGTGGGTCCAACAGTGCCATACACATATTGACTATCCCGGAGTCATCACCATTTTTTAGGTGGTATGTTTACCATTCCCAAATGGGTGGTTTATGACATTGTTTTACCCACATTATGGTAAGTTTCTCTTGTTGAGTCTTCGGGCATTTGGAGAAAACCAGCTCATTCACGCGCGACCTCGCAAGCAAGGTTTGCCTATTCTGTGACTTCAGTTGGTTTCACATGTGCCATGGTCCATGGTTGTCAATCCTTTATAGGGATTTACATACCCAGTGTAAGGAGTCCATTGTAGGTAAATGACCATAACCCATATACCATCTTTTGACCATGGCACACATGGTGGTTTGTAGCTATTCATCTGGTTCCGGTTCTCGTTTGGAAGATGTGTTCATCCAGAAAACAAATGGGATGGGCATATTTTTCCGGGGTGAAACCACCAACCAGATCTGGTTAACTACCCATTTTCTCAGCATTTCTCTCTTTTGGACCCTTTATCGCTTTCTCCGGGGGTCCCTTAATGGATCCTAACCTGCGATCCGTCAGCAAAAAAAAACAATCCGTGGGTTTGTCTGAAATTCTGGGTTCCCACAATTCAATGCTTGATCATCATACGTCCAAGTGAAATGTCTATTGTATGGGTAAAATAACAAGCTTTCAGACATACCAATATCCTATATTGGTGGCCCATTCTACTCCAATTAAGGTTGGTTAAATATTGATAGATTAAGGTTAGCTCCAATAAAAGTTGTATTATATCCAATGTTGTTGATTAAATCACAAAATCATAAAGTGACATTATTGACATTAGTTTACCTTTGGCAAAATCACCAAGGAAATACAAGGTGGTGCCCCATAGTTAGCTAAGCTGGTTTATAACTCCCATAACTATGGTTTATGGTAGATATAACTATAGTTAATGGGGTTTATAAACCAACTTATAACTGGGGGGCACCATCCTGTATCCGATATTGTGGATTGATCCCCTTCAAATCACCCCTTCGCAGGTCGCATCCCAGCGTCGTGTCCTGGACCGAATGTGCGGACCTTGGTTCCAAGCCACGGGCTGCGGAACGATCCGAAAAGTGGTTGTTGGTCATCATCAAGGCTGGTTTAACCAACAGAAATGGTGATTTACCATCTGGTTATTTAACGTAGCGAACTGGGAAATCACCATGTTTAATAGGTAAATCCTCATAAATCCTCTAATTTATGGGCCATTTTCCATAGCTACGTTAAATAACCAAAGGGTAATTGGGAAAAATTGTGATTTGACAGGGAACAATGGTGTTTAAACTATAAAAAAATGGTGCTACAAATTGGGATATCACGAAATATCATGTCTAGAATCTGGATAAGTTACAACGACCTCGCGTTGCGGCGGAAGTACAATGATGGAAATTGGATTGGGGTAACGATACAAAAATTGTCTCAGGTGAATTCCATCATGGATCCAGAACATGGGGAGCGAATTAGATAAAAAGATATAAAAAGTAGGATTCAAACAGCAGAGTTTGGATTCCCTGGGGAAGCTCCCAACAAACTTTGTAGTGGATACCTGGAGAGTGTCAAAGGAAAGGGCGTATTTACAGAAGGTGATGGAGATTTTCAAGAAACTACTGCCCTTCGTTTCCTCAGCTTGAGGCATGGCCAAGTTATGGCTACTGTTCCCGTGAAGTCTCAGGCATCGTGGCCCGGTGGAACTGGAACCAGTCGAAGGTCTGTCCGGATGGTCTGGAAATCAATCGTGGGCTCAGTGACCTCATTGCCTCCAACGACTACCCATGGCATAATGCAGCCCAGGCTGACAAGTTTCTACTACAGCCATTCTGTGAGATCCAGGCATGCCTTTATCAAAAGGTGTGGAATCAAACCTCGTGCTGTGGCAGTGCTGGATGTGGCACATAGCATTGATGGTATGGACACCTATGCTGTCTATATCTGCCAATGGTTCTGTAAGCGTTGGTTTCCGATGTCGATTTTTTGGCAACTGTTTAAAAACGGTGGAGCTGAAATTGAATGGCAGATTTATAGTATGAATATCAAGTTTGGCTATCGACCCTCAGAAGGAAATGGAAGCCCATCTACAGTGTTACAGATGCGTCCCAAAATTGGATAGCCCAAAATTCACTAATAGTTCATCGAAATGGCCCCGTAGAGTTACCTAATTTTGGGGTATACCCCCTGGACAAAGCCGTCTTCAGGGATTTTCCCTGAGGCTCATCCCTGTACGGGCGAGCTGGCTCAGTGGTTCTGACTCTGGGGGAAGCCCACAAAATAGATAAGATAAATAGGAACTTACTTGGAGGTGCTGTTGCAGTTGGCTATATCATTCTGGGATTTAAACCCCCAGAAGTTGAGATACAGCCCTTCTAACTGTGGCTATTAGATATCCTTTTTTTAAGTGGAGCTGCACCCCCAAGTACTGATCATTCGTGATGGATGTTTGCTACCCACTCACCTCAATCACTCAGTTCATTCCTGGTTGGTGGTTTCAAACATTTTTTATGTACCATAATATATGGGATTAATCTTCCCATTGACTAATATTGTTCAAGATGGTTAAAACCACCAACCAGATTCATATGACACTACTACCGCCTATTAACCATTTACAATCGCTGGGATGTTTTTTTAAAGCGAAATTTGACCATTTCACCCATCTCTTCTTCCCAGAATTGCGTGAAGGAAAAATCCCAGGAACCCTTTCCATTATATAAATCAAACCAGTTTATGAAATAAAGGCATATAAAATCATGTTTTTTAGTTCAATCCCATTTGTTTTGATGGTTCAATGTTAAAACAAGCAGTGATTAAGGTGCAACCTGCCCAGAAAAAAAAAAAACGCCGCCCAAGGGTGCAGATGTTGTCTGCGGATGCGGGCACGGCAGCATTCGAACTCTTGATAGAGGACTGGAAGAGGGTCGTCGGTGAATGGTAGCAGGATTTCTATGGTTTTTGTAGCGACATCACTAGCGAACTAACTAAATGATGGTCAAACATGTGTGCGAAAGGTGATAGAAAATCACTTGAAAATCAGAGTTGGACAGTTGGACCCATAACTGATGAGTTGGACCCATAATAGCAGTAGTTAATAGCAACAACAATGATGTCCATCATCAATAAAATACCTTAGTTACTCCCAGTCATGGATGGCTTCATAAATTTGGCAGGATTTCAGCGTGGCATCCCCACGTGTTCTGCTGGAAGATGGATGGGAACTTTTGGAAAATGATCTTTGGGTGGGATAAACCAAAAGTTCTGATCCAAAGAAAAGCAGAACACATGGGATAAACATCCATGATTCCATATAATTGTGATAAACATCCATAATTCTGGGTAGATTTCATCACGACCTCACTGTTCTCCCGAGCCCTGGAATCATGGTTAATATATGGGAAATCATCCCCAAATGGCCGAACTATTCAGGTTAGTGAAATATTATAATTTACCCAGATAATTCCAAACCATTTCGTTGTTCACTACAGGAAGAGTCCCGGAAGTAGTTACAAGTTGGTGTAGAACCCCATCCAGCTATGACCCCATCCAAATTTTTCATGTCAACCCCCGGATTGATAGACCATGGTTTATGACAAGGGGGATACTCCTCCAATAGTCATAATCTAATACTTTTTCATGGTACCCTCCCAATTAAACCGCCGTGCTAGGGGTTTATTAATCCAGGGTTGCCATTAGTTATAAACCCTAGTTCAGTTCTAAGTCAATTTAGCTAACTATGGGGGCAGTATGGGCCGCTTCCTGTGAGGGTCGACTTTGGACATGTTTTGAACAGCCATGGCCGTCCTGTGAGGAATGCCAACGTTTGTTCCAGCGTGTGGTGGCCATGAATGATGAGAATGCGGTGCTGAAAGTGCGGGTGCGGATGCCTGGACAACAACCATGCCTCGACGAACGATGGTACCCTCTGGTAAACTAACATAGCGAACTGTAATCCACTATTTCTATGGCCATTTTCAATAGCTATGTTAAATTACCAGAGGGTATTTTATAGTGAAGAATGGTGGTGTCATGGGATTGAAGGGATTCAATGGAGGATTGTAATGGTGATTTAACATGATGTAGTGGAAGTTTCTCATGAGATGGGAAACAAAATGTGTGGATTCACCGTGGTTTTTCGGGAAACTCAGGAAGACCGATTATACACCTAAGTTCAAATGGAACCCCAAAGATTGAAGGAGAGGATGTTTGGAACTTGGCAAATGTGGGTTCCATGTTAAAGTTTAAGGGGTGTGGAAATTCACTATGAAAAGCAACAATGTAGAAAACTCACCATCTTCAAGGCGACGAATGAACTCAGAAACGTATGAAGCGAAAAGCAGAAGGCAAAGGAGAACTCAGAGAAACGGCAGAAAGTTGAGGACTCAACATCGACGATCCTCAAGGGCAGAGTGGAATTAACACCAGTTGAAAGTTCTGCCATGCCGGTGTTCGGCCTACAACCGCTTGTGCTGAGTGACGACTTTGTTCTAGCTACAACAGCTGCAAGGGCAAAAGCACTCCTGGAGAGTGGCAGTCGCATCAAACACATCCAACAAGCGGCTATCTCCACAATCCTTTTGGATTCCGTCACTCGTATTGACCACAGCGGCGGACTTATGTTTCCTTGGTTTTCCTAGTTGGTTTTGGTTCCCCTCCTCGGTGCCCCCATGTTGGCAGAGCTCTTTGCCCCAAGGGCTTGCTCTCTGCTCTGGCGCTTGCGTCCTTGGTGACCCAGCGGGTTATCCACCTGCGCTTTTTTTGGGGGGGCCTCTTTCTTCTGGCCTCTCTTGGCATGATCCCGCGCTGTTGTTTTGTTCTCTACTCTTTGTCATTTGCGGCAGGGTTTTTTCTCCTTCCAAGAAGGTTTTTCCCTGCCTAGTCAAGACTCAAAGAACTGTTTCTAGAAATTCATCATGGTGAAACCATCACCGGCAAGGTGGGAGATGCTCCGAAAGAAGCCTTGCCCAACAACCTCCAGGAGGCTCACGAGGCACCGTGGTTACTGGTGGTGCTTTAGTCAGTGATAATGGATCTCATTGGGATACATTGAGGATATAATGGGGAGTGCAATGGAAAGAGAGAGAGAGAGAAAGAAAGAAAGAAAGAAAGAGACTTTGTGTATATATATATATTATATTATGTATATATATAATATATTATATATATATGCACTTATCATATGATTGTTATCATGATGAGTAAAAAAATGTGATTGTTAAAATCCTATTGTCAGTTATTGTTGCAAAGTGGTCTAAACTCACTTATAGATATTATTGACATTGGTGTTATTCTGGTTATATAATGGCGATGCCGCGTTGATGTATTTGTTTTCATGGGGTATACCCCAATCCATGGCCACTTGAACCGGAAAAATATCATCAACCATCATAAACCATCAAATCCACTCTGCTATTTTCAGACAGAGCCATGCATATGTGTTTTTTTGCTGGGTTGTACTACCCATGTTTTCCCAATGATAATATCAATTAATGTATATGTTTCATTGTGGTTTTACTAATTTGCTGCCAGCGAAATATTGTTTTATTCATGTTAAACCACCACTAAGTTTGACAGTTCTTACATAGTCTTTTACATGAAATTTGATTATATAGTTCTAAATAAGTAAAACGTAAAATAAAACCATGTACGTTTAAATGTAAAACCACTACACTATAGTTTTGATAATTTACATGGAAATTATGAATTACTACCATCGTAATAAAGTATGGTTGGTAGTAAGTAGCACATATTAGCTACAAATGGTACTTTTAACATTGTTAACAATTCCCAAAAACAACAATATTCACTAATGGTACTCTTTATTCTAAATGATACCCTTAACAATAAACAATTCTCAAAACAAATATCATTAAAACGTCCAAAATCATAAATATTCCAAAAAACATGGAGTAAACTACCAAAATCATTGCTTCTCAAAACCCATTTGTGATGTGTTTTGTTTTGTCAGGCGAATGGTGTGCTCCGCTCCCGCCTGGATGCACTCAGCGTTGGGGGCCTGAGAAAATATGTTAAACTCATTTAAACCAAAGGGGTTATTAAGTGGGCATGTATTGAGGATATAATGGGAGTTTGCTATGGGTGCTTTAGGATATAGAAGCAACAATATTGGAAAACGGGAGTTTTTATGGGTTTGTAGCCCTGAAAATTGACATAAAAATCCACGAGACACAACTGTTGCAACGCAGCCAAGATGAGGTCAATCCATCCATAATTCCCGGGATCCATGGTTTGAAACCCGAAAATCCACCATTGATATCCATTTAGAAACCGAGCTGATGTCCTCATTGATGTTTTTTTAAGCGCATTTGGGGAGTTCTTACGGTGGGGGATTCCCATGACGATGGGTTTCAATAAAACCATAGTCTAATGACTTGGATGATGTGGTGTACTCCCATTTTGGAAAAGATCCATTAATAGAGGGTCCAAACTTCACCATTGATACGTTTCCGACCAGAAGCTGGGCATGGATTCCTGACTTTGTCGAGGCCGAACTGTTCGCCACAACTACCTGGAAGGAAGAGGCGGAATGGATTGGAAAATATTGTAAAGGGCACTGAGAGAGGATTTTACCCTCCAGTAATCAGCCATAGCTATGGAAAATCACCATTGGGCGGTGATTCAATACGACAAGATGTGTTTACCAAGATATGGGATTTCACCAACAATGGGACACCAGCCATGGCAATGGCCAAGAAAACAAGCGATGGATTTTTCTGATTGTTCGGTCTGGGGAGGCCCCAAACCCCACACAAATTGAAACAACTAAGTTTGGGTATTCAAACCATCCCCGGTAAGTCAAAATATCCCAATGATCGGTAGATGTTCATTGGATTCTCACCGGTTGATGGTTTGATCTCCCATCATCACCAGAGGCAGCCAAGCGCCTCAATCAACAAGCTACGGAGATTGAGCAGTTGCGCCAGCGTCACACGGCTTCTGTTTTTCCGGAGATTGGATGATGTCAACGGCCTATGTACGAGCTATGTAATACCCCACAAAATATGGCCTTAGATGTACAGTACCTCTATTCCCACTGGTGATTTATTGCGCCATGTGTGTTTATTTGGCATTGAATTAGACTATTGTATACCATCAATAGGAATTAAACATGATTAATATACCATGATCATACCATTATCACAACATTATCATACCATGATAATCTTAACCCATGGCTCTTGCCACAGATATCCACGGTGCCAAGACAATAAACCATCCCCAGTGACTGCCAGACGTTGCATTGTGGTGGAGCAACATTTTGCGACTTTCTTGGGACAAACATTGTTTGAAAACATGTCTAACTTTTGCATACTGTATGTTACATTATATGATATCATATCATATTATAATAATATTATAATAAAATACATGTGTATATATATATGCTCTAGAAAAGCCGTGAATGGTCAAAGATGGGGGTTCAAGCTCAGGTGCACGGTTACGCCATTCGCATTGCTGTCAAATCCATTCCGTCCCCCAGAGTATTTGGGTGCTCTAAAGCCGTGGGCTGTAATTTTTGCCACATCTCTGTGAGTTTGCCCAAAACTGAGATCCCAAAATGGATAAACCATATTTGAACCATATTTAAACCATAATAAGCCATGATGGATATCCCAAATGGTGGATCTCCCAGAATGTTTGCCCAAAATGCTGATGTTGATAGGAAAGAAAGCCATGGAACCTGGGGAAGCCGCCCTTTTTTTACCATGAATTGATGGTCAAAACATGAACCATCCGGGTTTTACTATTCTTACTAACATGAAGTTGCTGATATCCAGCTCTTCATCATCTTTCACTGATGTACAGTCGCACAGGCAACCCCTGGAGGCGCCGTAGGTTTGTTGGCAGAAACGTTGTGACATTGGCGGCTCAAGTTTACATGTGTTCATATGTACATATATACATATATATATATATCATACTAAGTGGGATGCCCTTTTTGGGTTGTATAAATCCGGGACTGCATGAGCACAAGAGGAGATTGGGAATGGCCAATCATGGAGGCCGAACAGAACAGCAGATCCGCAGCTGTCGTGGCAACTTCACGACAGGCGAACGACGGGAAAACAATTTGATGAATACCCTCTGGTAATTTAACATAGCTATGGAAAATCACTATTTCTTATGGGAAAATCCACTATAAATGGCCATTTTCAATAGCTATGTTAAATGACCAGAGGGTATCAAAATTTATCGCAGCTTCCACCGAGGCATTTTGCCAGCTGAGATCAGCTGTACTGGGCGATCAAATACCTTTGTGATCCTTTGTGGGTCAAGAAGCCATCGGACAGAGAGGTCGTAGGAGGAGAATCTGTGGGCTCAACAGGGCTGAGAGGGGCGGCTTCATGGAATGTTGCAACATGAACCCTGCGATGTTTCGCACCCTGAGGTTTATCCAGCCTGTCACCGGAGATGGATGTACAGGCAGTGTGGTGGGGCTGGGGATGGCTGAAAAATTAGATGGCAACGGACCCATAAAATACCCAGTTCATTGGTACTTACTGAATTGTGACATGAAATGACTCATGGTTTGATTACCAATCGCCATGCTGGGTATGCTGATAAGAGTGGAAATTGTGAGTTCTTCAGCACAGAATCCCACGAACTTTGATTTGCTGAGTCGATGATTCTTGTTTTCCCAGAGTTGAAATCCTTCAATCTTGGGGCATGGAACTGGAATAATTCATGTTGATTTCCGTTGGATCTCGTAGTGTTTTGCATGTCAACATGGATGAATCAACCCTGGTCCACTGCGCAGGGGGGTTTTCTGAATCCCGGTCAGAGGGATGGATGCTGTCCAGGTCTGTTGTCCTGGTTTACCATGGGCATATCGATGTCATTTCTCATGGTTTCTCTATGGCAGAGTATCGATGTCATCCCATTTCTAGATAATTGATATATATATATATATTATATATATATGATCAGATATGTGTACAGTATAGACCATGTTACATGTAGTACATATGTTTGTATTTGGCTCAAGCCATTTTAGCCATTTTAGTGCTTTTAGCTACCTTCGAGCTAACCGAGTGAAAAGGTGCTGAACAGTGCTCAGGAGTGTTCATCAGATTTAAGAGCCCAATTTCTCTGTTCATGGTAGGCGGAGCTTAGGTTCTGATACCCAGCTGTGAATGTGTAGGTGTCGACGCCGAGCTGTCTCTGCTCTGGCGCGCTCACCTCGTGCCAACTGGAAAAGGTTGACACTCAAGCTCCTGAAAATCAGGAAAATCCAAAGGTACTTCCATAATCTGGGAGTGCATCTCCAACAGTATCCAAGGGTTCTCTTGAATCAGGTCTCAAAGCACCTGAAGAACGACTAAGGATGGCTCAGCAACAGCAGCCACCTCAGCAACCAGGCACTCCACCAGCACCCCAACAAGCACAAGGCAACGGTCCCAACATGTCCCAGATGGTTATGCAGATGATGGCCCAATTGACTCAGGGTCAGGCGCAGTTGAGCCAGGCAATGACCGAGGCTATGAACCAGCAGCTTCAGATCAACAGAAATGTTGAGAGATCTGTTGAATACAAAGACAGATCAGAGTTGAAAGGCATACCAAAACCTGATAAGTTCACTGGAGCATCAGGCACTTGGGATAGTTGGTGGTACAAGTTTAAGACTTGGGTTGAAAGTTGCCACAAGAATGCTGTGAAGATTGTGGCACAAGTTGAATCTCAGTGTGACAAAGAGATCACTGAGTCAGGTCTAGAAGTAGACTTTGATGAAGGCGCCGAGCTTGTTTCAGCTCAGGCTAGACAAGCCCTCATATCATTGACTGAGGGAGAAGCGTTGGAAATTGTCAAGAACACATCTCGTGGTAGCCACTTTGGCCTAGAAGCCATGAGACGACTGTTGTGCAAATATGGTCCTCAAAATCCTCAAGCTAATTCAGCCTTGTTGAAAAAGGTTCTGCATCCAAGTCAATGCAGTCTTGATAAGCTTCGAGAAGGGCTTGAGAGTTGGGAGAACTTGAAAAGAAAGTATGAAGACAGGAGGAAGAAACCACTTGAAGACGACATCTGCAGGAGTTGTCTGCAGCAAATGTGTCCCAACAAGCTGCAAGATCATTTGGACTTGCAGGCTTCGAGATTGACCACGTATGACCAGGTGAAAGCTGAAGTTTTGGCCTATCTCGAGAATGTCGAGACCAGGAAAGAGGCAAAATCAGGAGCCGTTCCCATGGATGTGGATTCCCTTGCTAAGGGTAAGGGAAAAGGAAAACATGACAAAGGGAAAGGCAAAGGTAAGTCCAAAGGTAAAGACAAAGGAAAGAGTCAGTCTTCGTCTTGGTCAAACAATTCATACCACAAGGGTTCTTGGAACAATCAGTCTTGGAATCAACAGTCTTGGTATAAACAAAACACCAATGACTCCAAGAGCAAAGGGAAAGGCAAGAAAGGTCAAGACAAAGGTAAAGGTAAAGGTGATCAAGGTACAGGTCGCAAAGTTGCCAATGTTGAGTCTGATACTTGGGCTCAAGAGCAACCTGCAGCAACTGCCACTGGTGATCAACCTGGACCTGAACTCACAGCGCTGTTCACCTTGGAAGACGCTATGCCGCCTAAGTCCGAAGCTCAAGAGGAATCACCTCGTCGTGGTAGAAGTCCAAGGAGAGCTACACTCCAAGCACCCTCAAGGAGCACTGTGACCAGGAGCGCTATGGTTATGGCTCAAAGCGCTTTGGCATCAGCTTCTGGGTCCAACAAGGAGCTTTTCAGTAAGATGATCGCTCAGGCTGAGAGCGCTGTCAAAGATGCTCAGGACAAAGGGCTCCAAGCAAATCAGGCCCTTAAGGAACGCCAAGAAACCCTGGACAAGTTGAAGAAAGAGGCAGCCCAGCATCAGAAAGAGGCCAAAGAGGCAATGGCCAAAGTGAGGGCAGAAGGCCGTGCCGCTTCAGCACCGGCTGCACCCTCTCGTCGGTTGCAAGCCGACCTAGATGCTGGAGTACATGCAAGAGCTGCCAAGAAAGCAGAAAAGAGTAGGAAGAGAGCTGCTAGTCATCGAGCAGCCACTGCACAAGAGAGAACAGCTAGCTTCAAGAACTATGAGCTGGCAACCCATGGACAAGCCAACCCTGACAAGTGGGACAGGGAGGATATTGGAGATCTTCCTGAACCTCCCAAGGCAAGAAAGTTGGAACCCAAGCGCCATAGAGGAGGACATCACAGGTCTGAAAGACGAAGGGCAGATGAAGCTAGAAAGAAGGCCAACGAGGACAAGATGAAGGAGATGAGCAAAGAAGGAATCCCAAAATGGATTCATGACAAGTTCGAGATTTCCTCTGAAGAGACCACTGATGAGGATGAATTTGTCAGCAGACTTGAGAAGCTGAAGAACGATCCTGAAGTTCTCAGCAAGTTGGACAATGTCTTGAAGGAGGCCTATGAGAAGGCTTATGGTGAAATTCCAACATCGGAAGAGGTCGAATCAGATGATGTACCATACAATCAGGAACCTGCACCAGGCATGGAAGATGTAGATCGTCATTGGGAGACTTCCTCTCGAGAGCTCATGTCATTCAAGGAGTTGCACGAGAAGTCCAAAACTGTGTCCAACAAAGGACATCCCTATGTGAAGTGCCAGGCATGTGGAAAAGCACTGAACTCCATGAGTCTTGCAAGCTTTTGGCAACATGTGGAGAGCAAGAATTGCTATCCTCAACACGCCCTGGAGTTTTGGAAGAAAGAACACTTTCAAGCAAAGGCTGAAAGAGAAGCAAAGGCTGAAGGAGAGGCATCCAAGAAGCGCCCCATGGATGATGCAGAGGCCAAAGATGAGAAAAAGCGCCAAGAGATCGCCAAGGATGAAGAGGAGAAGAAGCGCAAGCAGCATCTTGAGGAGCACTATGAGCGCTTCAGGCACCAGGGTAAAGATGATTTGAAGCCTGAAGTGAAGAAGATCCCCAAGAGGCCAGAGGAGAAAGAGAAGGAGAGATCAGAGAAGGAGGACGACAAGTCATCCAGCAGGGCACCCATTGAGCTGAAGTCCATATCCCCATCGAGAGCGCCTCAGGACAGCCGGGCTGATTCAGTGCAGGCCTCCAAGGGCAAGGGGATGCTCAGCACAGGTGCCAAGAGATTCTTGGAAAAGGCAGTGCGTGAAGCTGCCAACTTTGTGGAAAGAAAGGCCAGGAAGAAGAAGGAGAAGTCACCTTCTCCCAAGCTCAGGGAGCACTCACCAGGAGGAGGAGTTCGATCAGACTCCAACCTTGACTTCCTGGGAAGTTTGGCATCTCCGGTGGATACCATTGTTTGGGCCACCGTTGACTCAGGGGCTGCAACCAGTTGCCTACCCAAGGAGATGGCACAGTCTTTGGAGTTGGCTATGACGCCTGTGGATGAGAAGCCGTTTACCAATGCATCAGGACAACCAGTCCAGGTGCACGGCATATGCAACCCCATGGTGACAATGGGTGAGAAAGGAGGCCCACAAGTCAAAGGTGTGGGACAGTTCCGGGCAATGGATGTGGCAAAGCCATTGCTATCTGTGTCCAAGCTGGTTGAGAAAGGCTGGACAGTGACCTTCGGCCCCAAAGGATCGTTCCTGCAAAGGGGAGCCAAGAAGGTACCAATCACAATGACTGGAGGAGTCGTCAAAGTAGCCATGGATTTTCATGGGCAGCCCATAGAAGGGTTGAAGGCGTAAGTCCTGTGGAAACCACAGAGAGCGCAGGTAGTGGAGATGATGAACCGGGCAGTAGTAAGCTAGGTTCTCAAGCACTACCAACTGCAGCAGCGCCGACGCAGAGAGAAAAAGAAGAACATTTTGTCAGCCATTATCCTTTTAGGAGTTGGTGTGAACATTGCATTAGAGGCAAAGCAAAGGCAATGAGACATGTCAAAGTAGATCATTCAGATGAAACAGTTCCTGTGATCTCAGCTGACTATTGTTTCATGAATTCAGTGGATGACACTGTCATCACAGAGGAAGTGCAGAAAAAGCATGCACCAGTTTTGATAGTACATGATCGATGGTCCAAGTTGACCTACGCACACGTTTTGCCGTACAAGGGAGTTACCCAAGGTCCTATTGGATCTAAGTGTCTTTTGAATAACCTTAAGAAGTTTGGGTACCCCAAGATGGTCATGAGATATGACCCAGAGCCGGCACTCAACTCCGTAGTTGAGGCAGCCAAGAATGGTTTTGACAAACAGTTGGTTTTGGAAAAAGTTCCCAAAGGAGTCTCAGAATCCAAAGGGGAAATTGAAAGAGCAGTTCAAGCTATTGAATCTCAATCCAGGACACTCAGAAGTGCCTTGGAGACAAGCTATGGAAGAAAGGTGCCAGACGACCATCCAGTTTTGACATGGTTGGTTGAACATGCTAGCACCACTTACAATTTGTTTCACAGATCATTGGAAGTCAAAGATGGGAAGACACCGTACTCTAGACACCGTGGTCGTGAGTGGAGAGTGTCATTACCACCATTTGGGGAAACAATTGAATTCCTCAAAAGAGGTCACAAGTTTGAACAAAGATGGCACCAAGGAGTTTTCTTGGGAGTCAAAGACAATACCACTGAAAAGATAGTGGGGAATGCATCAGGTGTTTTCACTGTGCAAAGCATTCGACGCAAGAGTGCTGACGACAGATATGATGTCTAAACGTTGATGTCAGTCACTGGGGTTCCTTGGGATCCCCAGGCATCAAAAAGAGATGACATTTTGCTTCCTCAGATTGTTGAGGGAGATCAGCAGCCACTGGCGCCATCAGTGCCAGTTGAGCCACCAAAGAAGTCGACAAGACGACTTTACATCACCAAACGTGATTTGGACAAGTATGGCTACACCGCTGGTTGTGTCGCCTGTGATGCCACTAGAATTGGCAAGAGAAGCAGTGGAGTTCATCACACTCCAGCCTGCAGAGAAAGGATGGAACATCTGCTTCAAGCAGAAGAGGGCAACCTGAGAGTAGCCCAACATACAGCCAAGGTTGATTCTGAAATCACTGGTCAGAAACAGGAAGTGTCCGAAGAAGGCACCCAGATCCTTTATGGATATTCAAGTGAGAGACCACAAGGAGCCCCTCAAGGTTTCAAGGTGTTTGCACGCCTTGACAAGAATGCAAGGTATCTCAAGGGTACTATGCCAGAAGGTCCCAACTGGGACAACGTCTGGTGGAGAGTCACCAGAGATTTTAAGACAGGAGACATCATCAAGTCTGAACCAATGGATCCTAACTTAGGAGAAGACGTCATCAACGCACCGTTGATTGATGACACAGATATTGTCACTGAGCTGTGGTATTCTGCCACAGGGGAATCAGCGCCAAGTTTGCCAACTGCTGGAACATCAGGTCCAGTAGTACAAGCTTCTACAGCCGGTCCAATGCAGAGACCAGCTGTACAAGATCCTACTGCAACTGGAGTAGGAGCTAGTGCAAGCTCAGCCTCAGCCAAGAGGGCAGGAGGCGAACAAGAAGAAAGGTCACGCAAGAGGTTGGAAATGTCACCAACCAAAGGTCAGAAAAGACCTGCAGACTCAGGAGGCGAAACGTCAAAACCCAAAGACAGCCGAGCTGCTTCAGCTCAGGCGTCTAAGGGCACCAAACGGCCACCTGAGACTGAGAGACCAGATGACATGGATGATATAGACCAATGTCTTATGAACCTGATCATGGAAGATCGGGAGAGGTATCTTCAGTCCATTGAAGGTGAAGAAGAGCCAGTTTGCGAAGAAACAATTCCTCTTCCACCGGAGTTGGAAGATGAAGCAGTTGCATGGTATTATTATGATGATATCAGTGGAAAGATTTTGGACAGCAAAGGTGTAGAACAAGCCAGAAAAGATGAGGTCGAAATTATTGAAAGTTTTCCAGTTTGGGAAAAGATTCCCAGACACAAGATGCCCAAAGGGGTACGCACCATTGGAACACGATGGGTAGATGTCAACAAGCAGGATGAGGAGAATCCACTTTATAGAAGTAGGTTAGTAGCGCAAGAAGTCAAGAAGGGCTCAGGTTTTGATGAGTTCTTCGCAGCCATGCCCAGTTTGTCTGCTTTGAAGATGCTAGTTACAATAGCCGTCACGTTTCAGTTGCCAGACGCTGGAAAAGCTGTCAAGGAAGCCTATCGCAAGCGTAGACTTCTAGGATTTTTGGATGTGAAACGCGCTCACTTTTATTCAGATGCGACGCGCGAGATTTACGTGGAGCTTCCTGCAGAAGCAAAGAAGCCTGGAGAAGATGTGGTAGGAAGATTGCTCAAATCATTGTATGGAACCAGAGATGCACCTCTCAACTGGGAGTTGCAAATACAGAAGGTCATGTTGGCCTTAGGTTTCAAGCAAGGAAAAAGCAATCCATGCATATACTACCATGCAGGCCGAGACCTCAGAACTGTTGTACATGGAGATGATTTTACAACAGCAGGAACATTTGACAACATCAAATGGCTTCATGAAGAGCTGTCAAAGAAGTGGAAATGTGTGGAACGTGGTATTCTAGGACCACCAGGAACACCAAACACCATCCAGGACATCAGAGACCTGAACAGAATTATCACATGGAAGGAGAATGGAATTTGGTGGGAACCAGATGCACGTCACGCAGAGTTGGTGATTGATTTACTCGGAGATGGTCCCCGAGGAGCCAAAGTCAAGACACCACTTGCCAAAGGATCGGTGGAAGATCTTAAGGATGCCGCTGTTTTTCTCAACGATGAAGAAGCAACCCAGTATAGATCAGTTGCAATGCGAGCAGCTTATTTGGCACAAGACCGACCAGATCTGCAAGTAGCAACAAGATCTTTAGCACAAGGGCTACAACGACCAACTACCAGCCACATGCTTATGCTCAAAAGAGTTGCACGATACCTCAGGTATCGACCACGCATGGCACAATTCTTTCCTCATCAGAACAAACTCAGTCCATTTGTGATGTGGTCTGATGCTGACCACGCTGGATGCGTGAAGACGAGGAAGAGCGTGTCAGGAGGCGTCTTGATGGCCGGTGGTTGTTATTCTAAAGGACAAGGAGTTGTTAGTCTTTCGTCTGGAGAGAGTGAGTATTACGCTCTTGTGAGCGGTGCCAGCAATTTGCTGGGAGAAGTTTCAACCGCCAAAGACTGGGGTTTGCAACCTGAGAGTGAAGTTTTCATGGATGCAAGTGCAGGAATAGCAATGGGTTCACGAAGACTAGGCAAGGCCAAGCACGTGGATACTCAATACCACTGGGTACAAGACCGCGTGGCCAAGCGCTACTTTCGGCTGAAGAAGGTCGACACTGGCGATATGCTTGCCGACGTCTTGACGAAACCCGTCATAGAGGAGAAGATGAATAAGGCACTGCGGAATATGAACTTTCACTTTCTGGAAGGTGAACATCACCTGACACTGAAGGCATAGATGGCTTGAGTCGTGGCTATGCTCCGCTGTACATATCAAAACTCGCCTAGTTCAAAACACTTGGACTCACCGTGCCTCCGAACAGGCTCGGGAGGCGTGATCAGATATGTGTACAGTATAGACCATGTTACATGTAGTACATATGTTTGTATTTGGCTCAAGCCATTTTAGCCATTTTAGTGCTTTTAGCTACCTTCGAGCTAACCGAGTGAAAAGGTGCTGAACAGTGCTCAGGAGTGTTCATCAGATTTAAGAGCCCAATTTCTCTGTTCAATATACTATATATATATATTATATATATATATATAATATTATATATATATATATATTGTCCATGTCATAGCGAATCATGGCGTCCCAAAGAATCATCGTGGTTTGGGAATCATTCTATAAATTACACGACGAATCACGATATAACACAATAAACAAAGTATCACTATCTCCAATTTCCATGCAGAACTGGTGCAATTGTCCCAGAACCCCGGGTCACCAAACATGGCAATGGGGCAATTCCCCATTGATAGATTTCTCAGCCTGAAACATCCATTTGCAGCGGATTTCCCATCCAGCCATGTTTAATTACCGGATGGTATAAATGTGTATAAATCATATCCCATTAATACTCCATTATAGTCCGTTATATCTCCCTTCTATCACCATTATATCACCATTTAAGAGTGCCTTTGTTTTACAGCATGTAATATCTCTGCCACCGACGCGTCGCAGTCTCTTGGCAGGCACTTGAAGAAGCGATGAGACCACCGGAGGAGGGGAACCAAATTATTTATTTGTTTTCAACTCCTAAAAAATGATGGTTTCCATTAATAGGGATACCCCAATAGCTGGATGATTCATAATGGACAATCCTATTAAAATGGATGATTTGGGGATACCCCTATTGACCCCTATCTCAGGAAACCTCCAAATAGTAAAGTAATAGAGCACTACCTACGATTTTATCCAGATCGTTTTTTTGGTTTTCGGTTGCTAGAACTTGTGGTTGGATCACCATGTTCCTCTCCATTTTTTCACAGATCACGATTTTCCCACATGTTTGATGGTGAAATCACAATGTTCTCGCGTCTTTGATGATTAGATTCCAATTTTCCTATCATAACTGGCCTGTCGGACTGTCCCCCAGCGACCGGCCAGGATCAGTTGCGACACCTGTCCCCCAGCGACCGGCCAGGATCAGTTGCGACACCAGTTGGAGCGTTCTCAACAGCAGAGGTGGGGTCACGACCTGGTAAATGTGGTTGAAGACATTTTCTATTGGCAAATTGGTCATTCAAAGATACTGCAAACTGTTGAAAATATTCAGGGATTGTTGGGCGTTTAAAGTTTTGTTTTTTGATCACTCGATTCGAAAGTGTGGTTGAAACTCAAAGGAAAAGTGATTAGATTTCGGTATAAAGCAATTAAGAATAGGGAGGTGAAGCAACAGTTCTTGGATAAGCCAAACCAAGAAAGCAATGATGTGTTTTTTTGTGATAAACCAGCCTAGAATGATTCGGTGGGGGATAGAGTGGTAAACAGCATGATGGGATATAGATAGATAGATTAAATTAGATAATATAAGATTAGATTAGATTAGATTAATAGATCGATAGATAGATAGATAGATAGATTGATAGATAGATAGATAGATAGTTAGATAGATAGATAGATTAGATAGATTAGATAGATAGATAGATTAGATAGATTAGATAGATTAGATAGATTAGATAGATTAGATAGATTAGATAGATTAGATAGATTAGATAGATTAGATAGATTAGATAGATAGATAGATAGATTAGATAGATAGATTAGATAGATAGATTAGATAGATCAGATAGATTAGATTAGATTAGATTAGGTTAGATTAGATTAGATTAGATAGGATAGATAGATAGATCGCCATCTGTGCAACTACTATCAGTTGGTTGTGTTTGAAAATGGGTTGTACCGCCAAATTGATATGTTATCCGGTAAAATGGCACTCAACCAGCAAATTTGCGGGTTTTCCCACAATTTCCAGCCAAACCCAAATGTGGTTGAAACATGATGAAACTCTGCAAAAGTTAGACAAAAATGGAATATAAACCACGCAAAAACGAGAGGGATATGTACGAGAGGAAAACCGACGAATGAAGGGAGTGCAGTTTGATGGATGATGTTTGTACGGGATTTATATACCCTCTGGTAAACCAACATAACTATTGAAAATTGCCATAGAAATAGTTGATTTACCCATTAAAAATGGTGATTTTCAATAGTTAGGTTAAATTACCATAGGGTAAATACCTTCCGATGAACCATCAAACCTGGCTTGCTGGAAAATCCACCTGGCTTAGTTCGATGATTTTTCCACCTGAACGCATCCATTTATACGCGAGGGCTCCCATTGCTACGTTTGATTCCTTTGTTATGTGCGAAGAAGTTGCAGCTTATGAAGAATATTAGCATGCATTTGCCACTCCGTCAACAACCATGGCAACTTAAAGATCCAGCTTAGCGTGTCAGACAGGCGAAGCCAGCGCTAATAGCTAAGTGGTTAAGCAATTGGATTATCTCATTGATAGTCCAAATGGATTCAAGCCGTTATTCGACATAGAATTTGGAACCCAATGTCAATGAAACATGATTGCAGAGTTGGTACTGTAAACGTCGTGAAATACTCGGTGAACCACTTGAAATAACTAGCCAAAACCGTCGCAATTAGCCACTCTCAATGGATAGAAATGGATCATTATCTGGTTGGTGGTTTGGAACATGTTTTATTTTTCCATATATTGGGAACAATCATCCCAACTGACTAATATTTTTGAGAGGGGTTGAAACCACCAACCAGTTATTGGTTAATCCCTGAACAAGCCCAAATTAATGGTTTTGATTGTGACCCATCAGTTTTCAACGCAAGGAATTGCTTTTGATAGTAACCATTGACCATCAGTTATCAAGGAAATTCACGGCAACTCCTTGTTTTAAACATCCCGGCGGAATCTTTACCGTCCGCATAATTAGCACAAATTCATGGTTTCGCCATAGCGAAACGTCAATTTTGATGCAAAAATAGGGGTCTCCGAACTTGAGGGTTTAACTTTTCCATCCCACCCACCCCACCCCCCCCCCCCCACTAGCATCACGTATGTGTGGAAGTTGCAGAAGAACGGGCAGTGGCGTAGCATCACGTACTTGTGAAGTGCCAATGAAACTCCCACCCACCCACCACCCCACCCCACGTAGCATCACGTCTGTTTGGAAGTTGCAGAAGAACAAGCAGTGGCGTAGCATCACGTCTGTGTGGAAGTTGCAGAAGAACGGGCAGAGGCGTAGCATCACGTACTTGTGGAAGTGCCAATGAACGTTAACATCCCACCCCACCCCACCCCACCCCATCAAAATCTATGCGTTTTGCTGGACGGTAAAAATTCCGTCAGCTTAAACATGTCCAATTCATGCATCAGCAATGAGTGGGTATCCACATAGATTCCCAGTTCTCGTGATAATTAGGTATTCAAATAAGTTTACCCAAATTAAATGACTAATTACCCAATATTAACCCAATGATAAGCCAAAGTGCATGGGGTTCCCTTGGGGATCTGTTTTCCAGGAGCAACTTAGAGAAGTTCCTCGCAGCACAGACCTCCCGAGCTCCTTGATGTGCTGCGGGCGGGAGGTGGTGGTGTGCACTTTGGAAAGAGGGCCGGTCTTGGGCCAGGAGGTTGGCATTCACATGCATTTATAGATAATCATGTGTGCATATAGGTAATAATACATGATATAATTGTTTCTTTACGGTAATATATTTACATCTATATACATATGTTTATTGATATACATATGGATATATATATATACCGGTATATATATATATAGCATGTCTCTATATATACATACATACATACATACATACATATGGATATAAACAGTATACACAGTGTGTATATATATATAGATATCCACATATATGGCCCTTAGAGGATGCCCTAAAACCAGATCACTTTCCCAGAGATATCCTCGGAGGGGAGCAAGTGACGATGCCAAGCAATCAGAGTTTGACCAGAAATTTGAATGTGTTTTCTCACTAGGTAATGGAGGAATGGGATAATGGCTATGGATCATTCCCCCACTCCCTGCTAAGCTCCTCATTGGACTATTGTTGGTGTTGCACTGCCACTCTTTTGTCGAAAAAACATAATGTTTCCGGCAGGTTATAATGATTACAATGGATTGGTGGGCATTTACAGAGAATTCATGAGGAATGGGAAAATCACCAACCAAACCTGGGATTTTGTTCGAAAGTAATGATCATTTGTAACAACACCCAAGTCAATGAAGTCATTGGCAGGTTTCAACCCCAGATTTGCAGGTTCAAATGTAGGTGGGTCGGTAACAGGAATGGAAAGCAGGTAGGGGCCGCCTTACCGTTTCCAGACACCTCGCACAACTTCTGTCGCATGTACGCATTGATATGCATGTGTTTAGTTCTTTTTGATAGACTTATAATTATATATATATATGGTGCAGCGTTGGCCACCCCCCCTCCCCCCCCCCACCAATGGGTATGGGTGGACAGTATCGTCTGGTGTCCTTCTGGCCCCCCCCCCCCTGTGGCCTGTGGTGGTGGTAAATGGTTCTTCTGGTCCCCCCCCCCCCTGTGGCCTGTGTGGTGGTATGGTTCTTCTGGTCCCCCCCCCCTGTGGCCTGTCTTCCTATGTTGGTATGTTGGTATGTTGGTATGTTGGTATGTTGGTATGTATGTATGTATGTATGTATGTATGAGGTATGTGGTGTATGTGTATGTATGTATGTATGTAAGGTAAGGTAATGTAGGTGTAGGTATGTAGGTAGGTAGGTAGGTGTAGGTATGTATGTATGTATGATGGAATGTGTAAGGTTAATGTAAGTAAGGTAAGGTGTGTAAGGTAAGGTGTGTAATGGTATGTATGTATGTATGTACGTAGGTATGTAGGTAGGTAGGTAGGTAGGTATGTAGGTATGTATGTATGTATATACACCACCACAGGGGCATCATACCCCCCCCCCATCCCATGGGGGGGGGGGTGGGAACACGGGACACGGGACCATATATATGTGTATATGTGTGTGGTTCAATAATATATATATACATAGACATTATATTAGTATTGATACATGTGTTTCTGCCTTTGGTTTTGTATACTTATACTTATATATAAGTACTTCAATTTAGATATGTATATATATATTGTGGACAAATCTGTTGAATCTGTTGATGCAGGATGAACTCCATCCCCCAATTCATAAACCCCCACTAGCTGTATATCCATTCATATTCTGTTATATTCCATGTTCAAAATCCATTAATGTCTCTTGGGGAATGTGAATGGTATATCCACATTTGATAATGAAAGATCAAAAGACATGGCATATCCATAAAGGCATTGAACATGTGATAGTGTCCCGTTTCCAAATTTTACGTCCAGCAATGTTCCAGTTACCGTTTGGTTATTTAACATAGCCATGGGAAAGGGCCCATTTATAGAGCTATTAAAAATGGTGATTTTCCATGGCTATGTTAAATGACCAGATGGTATATTCCATAAACATTGATAATTAGCCCATTCAAAAAAAATCGTCCATTAATTGTCCATCAATATTCCATTAGTCTCCCATGAATATTTCAAAAATATTCCGTGAATGTTCATAATTTTCTCATTCATGGAATATCCCAGGGGTAATTTAACATATATCATTCCAACATCAATATTCCAATATATATATATGGAATATTAATGGGATACGAATATATTCTGGAGACCTACCAATAATTGTATATGATAGTTGAATATCCGATAAATATCCCATTAAATATATTTCAATATTCCATCGAACATCCCATTAAATCTCCATTTTGTATATACCATTCATATTATTTAACATAGCCATGGAAAGACCCGCCATGCTATTAATAGGTAAACCATCTATTTCTATGGGCCATCGAAAAACCATGGCTATGTTAGTCATAACCAGAGGGTATCAATACCATCTGGTTATTTAACATGGCCATGGAAAATAGCCGATTTATAGATGATTTTCCCACTAAAACCGCCACTTATAAGCGATTTTCCATGAATATTCCATGAACATCCCATTCTATGTCGAAGTTTTTCTCAGGTCGCCCAGCTCTCAGCGGACATGGAGGAGCTGCAGCAACGCTTGCGCGAGGCGCAGTCGAGTTGTCACGCGTCGTTACTTCAGCAACCTTCGGGATCATTTACCCCCTGGTAAATTAACATAGACCCTGAAAATGACAAATTTATAGTGGAAACTAATCTTCCAACCCCTATCTACCAGGGTCTATGTTAATTTACTGGAGGGTATGGTTTACCCTCTGGTAAACAAACAGTTTGCTATTGAACATGGCCATTTGTAGTTGATGTTCTGAGGGTAACCAGTAAAATATTGGTTTGGCTGGTGATAGCCACCATCATGAATCATGGCTTCAATATGTTTCAAGGTTTCCATTTCCATCCGCAATATTGATGAAAACCCTATGACTGTTGCCAGGAATACGCACAGTTGCTCGCTACGCATCAGATTCAATCGGGTTACTAACCAGGTGAGGCATGAAATCACGAAGCCCCGAGTTGCAAATGCTATGTCAAGTGGATATCTGGTTGGTGGTTTGGAACATTTTTTATTTTTCCATATATTGGGAATAGTAACCCCAACTCACTATTTTTTTTCAGAGGGGTTGAAACCACCAACCAGGATATAATCCTTCAAAACTGGAACATTGGACAATAATACAGCTATACATATACGATCAGGACTCTCTAATTCACCTAAGCCGCGGTGTGAAGCCTCTATACACATATGTATATGTATATATACACATATATTACATGTATATGTATATATATATAGATAGATATATATGTAGATGTGTGTTAGATATTCTTAGATTGGTTCATATGGTCTGTATTTCGATGTGCTTTCTACAACAGAATCATCCCACCCATCACCTGCCCTCCGTCGCTCAAATCCAGGTGGTTTTCAGCATGTCCGACGTCGTGGCACCCCCTGAGGAGTGGTGGCTGGTTGGTGGTTTCGAACCAGCAACAAATAGGGATTTAATGGGATTTAATAGGGATTTATATATAACCATTATAAATGGTATATCATAACTGGCTGGTGGTTTCAAACATGAATTTTATTTTCCCATTTCATATATGGGATGTAATCCTTCCCATTGACGAACTCATATTTTTCAAGATGGTTATTGCACCGTTGGTGAATTACCCTGTGGATCTTTAACATAGCTGTGGAAAACTACATGTTTGACTAGGCAAGTAAGGTCCAGGTAAATCATGTTCCATTCCATGTTAAATGGTAATGATTTAACCAACCAAAAGGGGTATTTTAATGGAACCAATCGGGACATCATCAATGGCAATCCAATGGTGGTTTAATAGCAACAATATGGGATATGGAAAGGAAATAGCGATGAGTCATAGAGAATTTCACGGGGGTACCATATTTTAGACTTCAAACTCTTGGATTTTGGGGTACCTAATATTTTTCAGACAATTCGCCACGGGCGTCAGAACTTTTGACGCTTGCTGAAATTTTACTGAGGATTCCCAGTTCATGAACTACTTGTGATCCCAAAAACATCAAGCAAATGGTGTTTTTAAACTGTTCTATGAATGTTAGGAATGGGATTCCAATCTTGAGAGCATCAGTGTCACTGGTTGCTGGTTTCAGTTGTTGTAGAAAAACATGATTAACGCACTGTACATGGGGGGTTTCCCCTCATGTAGATTGGAATAGAACCCATAATCATGGAGTTTCCTGAGATTTATTCAACCACAAGGAAGTGTGCATAGTTGATGTTCCTTGGCTGGCTGTTCTTTCCTCTGTTTTCCCAATGATGATGCTCCTGCAGATTGCGACGCGTGATATGGTAAATTGTCCTTGGGGCCGGAATCATGCCCCAAATGATGATAAAATATAAAATATGAATTGAAACATATCTATGTATATATATATACATGTTGTGGTCATGAAATGACTCGTGTTTGGGGTATGCTGAAATACTGACCCGACCCCCATGTCCAACTTTCATGACCAGGCAGTCGTGCGAGAGAGGGTCCGCATGGAATTCGAGGACACCAGGGGTCCAGTGGTGCTTTACTGGCTGGTGGTTTGGAACATGGTTTTTATTTTCCCCAATAGTTGGGATGATTTTCTCAGTTCTGACTTTCATATTTTTCAGGGGGGTAGGGCTCAACCACCAATTAGTTTATGTTGCGTGGAACGACTCAATTTTGAAGTGTCAATTTATCTGTTGGCTGAAGCCATCAATCAATAGGACCGCACAGTGAATCTGATATATGTTTCATCATGTTCCACTTACTTTCCTTTTCTCCAACTGAATCGCCATAAGTTGCTGGTTCATTTAGCCATTTTGATCTATTTTGGGATGTCGACCATCTTCATGGACGGCATAGACTGAGATATCGAAAGGGATGGGAGAAATAAAAATAGGTAAAGGTGGAAAGGGACTAAGCGGGTTTGGCTTCAGATATGGACATTAATATATGGAAAGGTTCCTTGGAACCAATTGCTTAAACATCATTTTTTGGTCAGTTGCATCCCACATGGGGTTGTTTGAACATCTTGTACACCTAAATCTGCTGGTGGTTTATCTTTTCCCAATGTTGCAGCAAATCATACACACCCATGTGGTATTACTGGTCATATATATATATACATACATGTATATATATATATATAATACAATATAATATATAATATATAATATATAATATATAATAAATATGTAATATATAAAACATATAATATATATATATATCCCATTGTACCACTATTGTGGCTGGTGTTTACCCCTATATATCCCACAATTATGTTTGGCCAAAGCAGTACGTATCCCAATACGACAGATTTCCCATGAAATCCCATTTTTTCCCATGAAAATCCTTCATGAGATGTTCATGAATATCCCCGTTATATCATGTTATATCCACATTTTATCCACTATCATCCATTAATATCCATGGAGAATGGAATCTCTCCATAAAAAATCCATTAAAGCCAATATTCATGAAAATGGAATCTCATATCATCTCCCATTAACATCGCCGCATTCACATCGCACCACTGCTTCCAGGAGCAGCTGCGACAGCAAGGTCTCAAGGTGCAGAAAGCCGAAGAGGAGATCCAAAATAGCTAGGGCTGATTGGTGGTGTCAAACATTGAGCTCTATACTGTTCAAAGATGTTCAAAGTGCCTTGATGGGAAGAAGATGGAAGAAGTGAAGTGAACATAATAGTGGTGAAGAATGAATAATGGTTGATGATGCTGGTGAATGATGGTTGATGATGGTTCGATCACAGACTTGTGCTATTTTCGAAATACTTGCTACATTTCACATCAAATTGGTGGTGTCATATATTGAGCAATTAAATGGGGATGGGTCAAAGTCATTCAAAATCTGCTATTACCCTATTAAGGGAATAACCATCTGGATAAACCAACTATTTTAGGTTACCTAGGGTACTGTCTAGGTTTTGACTCATAGCCAAGTATTGAGCTCTATACTGTTCAAACCTCCTTGATGGGAAGAAGTGAGGTGGAAATAGGTGAATAATGGTTCATGATGGTGGTGGCTTCATAACCAATCAATGGTGTCATAATCATTAAATACAACTCCCGATTTCATAACCAATCAATGGTGGAAGTGGCTTAATCATGGTGAATTGGTTGATGATGAATAGTGGTGATTAATGGTCAATATAACCTGGTTGATTGGTTACAAAATCTAGATGTTTAAGCATGAAGCATGTGCTTCCACCAATAGACATCTGGGAATGTTATATGATAATATATCTGATAAATGATTGTTGATTCTTTATGACATCAGGAATTTTCTCCTATCTGGGTGGGGATTCTGAACTAAGCCATACTGGGGAAAGCTCAACATTTTTCAGACTTGGGATGATTGGTTGGTCTCATATTCAGATTGCTTAAAACCACCAACTAGTGAGAAATACGTTTTTTTTTATCGGATAATATAATATATATATATATATGTATCATGTGTCGCTGAATATGTTTGGTGTTCATTTGATAGTTTTGTTCATGGGGCATGTATTGGATATTACAAATACTGTATGTGTATATATATATATATAATACGTATAGACTGCGATATGATCGTTAAATGCGAGAGGCATCAAGAATGAGACTATTATGCTTGAAAAGTATTGATAGTATATCTCTGGAGCGTAAGCCATCCCAGAAATTCACCGTTACGATGGGAATATACTGTAGATTGAGGAATATTGAGGAAATGGTTGGTTGTTTAGGGATTACCTTCATCAAGAAAGGTTTTGCACCATCAAGAATAGGATCTCAACCCGCTCTTCGGGTACATTACTTGGTTCATCCTGTAATTATAACCAATGGCATTGAATTATATGATGTTTAATATACCCTCTGGTAAATCAACATAGACCCTGAAAATAAGCCATTTTTAGTGGAAACCAGTCTTCGAACCCCTATCTGCCAGGGTCTATGTTAATTTACCGGAGTGTATTTTACATGTCCTTTCTTCCGAAGCCAATGCATCCTCGCAGCGAGGAGTCAAGCGATCTGCGCAAGGCCAACGAAAAGTTGCAGGTGGGATTTGGGATGATTTGGTGAGCCAAAACAGAAAAAAAAATCACGGGAAGACCTCACTTGGGATCTATCAAACAGGGGAAACTAATGGAACCTAATGGAAACCATTGGGAAACTCATGGAATCTAAGCAAGCAAAATGGATCACCATGAACAAATTGGAATCGATTCCGTTTAATCAATCCCAAAATGGAATGAACTGGTGATTCAACCAACAAGTCTTGGAATTTAAGAACCAAATCAGATTGAACCAACCAAAACAGGAAGACATAGAGGTTTGTCGGAAATAAGGTCCCTGGAAATCCAAGTCAACGACAACCACTGTCATGGTTCCAAATTAGAATGGCCATAGATTTGGGTGATTTGGGTTACCCCGTATTTTTCGGACAAGACCATCTAGGCATATTAAGCTACATTTACCCAGTGAAATTTGAAGCGCTTCATCCTTGTGATTGAGTTTTCCCCCTCCAATTGAACTGTTCGCGGGGATGGTCCGTCCCGAGTGACCCGAGATCCCGAAAAATGATCAAGGGGCCTAGGGGATTGAGGGGATTTAAAAAGGAGAGAACCACACCATTGGCGGGCTGGGACCATATATGATATATGTATATCATATATATATATTACGAATTATTTATTTATGTAATATGTATATGAATTAGATTCATACATGGGTGGCTCCTTTTATTATGTTTATATATGTACTGGTATGTTTATACTTCTCCTTTCGCGAGTGAGACATGGACATGTCGGAAAAGGCTTCTAGGCTTTGGGAGAACTATGAGCGCCGTCTAGTGCAGGTCACCATTTTTTCGCAAGTGATGTAGATAAAGCTAGCATGTGCCATCTTTTTGTGCACATAAAGACGACTTCATGTCACAGCCCCATCCCAAAGATTGCCGTTTGGGAAGATGACGATCCACAGATCATGGAAAACCCTTTGGTTTAAGCCGAAGCCAATTGGTATGTGGGCACTGAAAACGGTTAAAATTGTCGTGGTCATGAAGATTTGTTTGAGTGGTAATGTCATTCAGTTTTATTGGTTTAATCTCTCTTTTGCTGCCCAAATCCCCAATGTTTACAGCTTCTATCCCCAGTAATCATCATTTCTAACTCAAAAAACTCACACCCCCCAACCAACCAACCAACCAACCAACCAACCAACCAACCAACCAACCAACCAACCAACCAACCAACGATGACAGCAGGCGCAAGTGGAGCAGCAAGTGAAGTTGCAGGTGCACTGCAGGATGGCGGCTGGTCTGGGTCAACCTTTGACAGTTAAAGGTACTTGAATCTAGAAACTGAAAATACATACTAACCAGATCTAACCAGAACAAGTTCATATTTTTTGGTATGTAAGATTGGCCATGATAGTCATAAATGGGTTCATATTGGTTTATAAACCCAATACGTCGGTAGAGATATCCGAATATCTACCATCAATCCTATCATTCGCCTTTTTCAACATTGGCCGTTTCGGGTCGTGCTTCTTATTTCAGCATATTTCAGCGGCATAACTGAATTAGTGATTGGTGTCAATGTATGGCAAATGTATGGCAAATGTGGATATGGGTCAAAAGTGAGTGGGAAACCCTGGCTGCCATAAACCTATCGCTTAGGGACGGTAAGTTTATAGCACCCAATTGGCGGGTCATTGACCTGCCATCTTTGTCGGGGATATGGGTTGTTGAAGGCAAGCAGTATTTTTAAGTGGTTTACAACCCGAGAAATCAAGGAGTCCCCATGACTCTATATAGAGTAATCCAAGTTTGAAATGTGATGAAATATGTAGATTTGACTCAGAAAAACTCACCCATGTCTCTATTTATGAATGTATACACTTGGGTTAGATGTGCTTTTAAAGTTCCAGTTACCTCACCAGTCAGGTGGATTTGACTCGACAGCTGGAGGAGTTCAGATATTTGGTTGGGGCCTCAGTTTACCCCCAAAAGATGTTTCGTTGCTTCGTCAAAACGTAAATTAAACCAGAGGAAATGGTGATGACTCTAGCAAAAAGATGATAACATGATGACAGAAACGTGGATTTTATTGGATTTTGAAATCAGAACCAGTGACATATGAACTACAAGATTGGAGAGTTGACCAGCCAACGCGCGGGCTTTGAACCAACCATCATGGGTCGTCAATGCGTGAACATTGTTGATCGTCAGGTGAGTCCAGCAACCGCAAACAAAAACATCTGGTAAGCGGGCACATCAACCAGCAAAATTGGATCCCTCAGCGGGACTGAGCCAACATTTGTTTGCAGAATAGAGTTGAAACAAGCCTTGAGATCTTCGGCCAAGTGGTTTCTATCGTGGTTTCTATCTCGATATACCCTCTGGTAAACTAACATAGCTATGGAAAATCACAATTTTTTAATGGGTAAATCCACTATAGATGGCCATGTTCAATAGCGATGTTAAATTACCAGAGGGTATATCACATCTCCCAGTTCATCGCCCAGGGAGAAGGAAGTCAGCCTGCCATCCCTGGAATGGAAGAGGACCAGAGGGGTTGTCTGGTCACGGGATTCAGGCCATCCATCTTGCTGGTTACAAATGGAAGATATATGGGATATAAGACAACACCTTATAGTGATTAGCGAAGAAATAAATGTATGTAGATTTTTTTTGGGATATGTGCCCTGGTCAAAAGATTGTGAAAATTGTCCCATAAAGCAGGATTACCCTCCGGTAAACTAACAGTTCGCTATTGAAAATGGCCCATAGGTACTTGATTTACCCCTGAAAAATGGTGGATCTTTCCAGTTCGTTATGTTAGTTCGTTTACCGGAGGGTAAATCCCATTAAATCCCATTAAACCACCATAAACCCTCATTAAATCACAATTTTCCTATGGTTTTCCTATGGTTTTCTTATGTATTACTTATAGAAGATGTCCAAATTTCCCAATTTCCCCAACCTTTTGATGATTGCCATGATGGGATGACGGGGATGGAAAAAAATCCACATTTCCTGGTGCTTTATGGAAGCAGCAACATTTATTGGGATTTTTCATGGGAGTTAATAGGGATTTATATATAATCATTATAAATGGTATATCATAACTGGCTGGTGATTTCAAACATGAATTTTATTTTCCATTTCATATATGGGATGTAATCCTTCCCATTGACTAATAACTCATATTTTTCAAGATGGTTATTGCACCACCAAGCAGCAATCCATGTGATGAAAAATGTGTGTCTTGAATCTTGTGATTCGTGGCATTTCACCAAGCAATTTTCGAAAATCTTCTCGTGATTCCCATCATTCCCATGATCTGGGGCCGCACTGGTAACAAATAAATATCATATGAATAGGTATACTGTATGTACTACATACAAGGTATACTTAAATGTATATTAATAAGATTTAATAATTAATAAGTATAAGACACTATGATTGGCTTCAACATGCTTCAACCATCATGCGATCAGCTTATCCTTCCAATGACGACATCACCGAGAGGTGGCCAATCGCTTGGCCAAGCGCAACGAGGCCGCCGGAACGAGAGAAGTAGAGTCGTTGGATTGTGCTGATTTAGT